ACTCATGCTTGTCATAAGAGGCGACAAATGGGATCGGGCAGTCAGACTCGCTGACTTGGTTGACACATGTCATCCCAATTGTGTAGATTGATGCTCTTGCTGTCGATCAGTGGATTATTTGGTACAGCCTCGATTATTTACAGACCGCCGTCATATAGCTGGAATATTGCTGAGTGCGGCGTAAAACTTAACTCACTCACTCACCTTTCAAGGCTTAGCTTCAATGTGTGTGACCAGGCACACCATAGCATACACATTGTCTATTCCAAGCTATACTGTTTAAATATTTGTCCCCAGTTCCAACTGCACCGCTGACTCCAAGGGTGTACATCACCCAGCCCAACAAGAACAACTCCACCTCCCAGCTGATGCTGGCTGCAGACTTCCGCTGGTCCAACCCCCACGCCATACGTGGCGTCCTGAGCCACCATTTTGTCTTTTACTGGGAAGGGGACAGTGCAGTCAAACATGAGGCTCGTGTTGGTGGCGTCTTGAGACACTTCATTCTCAACAACCTTCTTGACAACAAGAGTTACTTCTTTCAGGTATGAAAAACATCCCTCTTTGCTAGCATGTGGCAGGTGTGTTTGAGATTGTTTATGCGTTTCTTGAAAGTTAAATTTCTTGTCAGAAGTTGAACATGTGCATTTTCATAATCAGCTTGTCCTGTCCTGAGAATTGATAGTGTAACATATAAGAGGTATTGTGAGATGCAGAACAACTGTAGTACCAAAGATTTGTGCTTCTCAGTATTGTTATTTAAAGTTTCAATACAATACATACATTGCAAGTGATTCCAATGACATTTAATTGGCTGAGCAAGCAAGTATAATTTGTATTTATGTTTCCATGAATTGCCAAGACAATCGGTTAATGCCCCATTCACAGATTAGGCATTTTTTATACTTTTATAAAGTATTTACAGACTGTGCCTAATGAAATAACAGTGTTTTTATTTGATAGAATATACAGTGTTAAAGACGAATTTGTATTGCACAGGTTAAAGGTTGCACAGAAGCAGGATGTGGTGAACTATCAGAAATAGTGTCTGCTGTTACTGATGGTGAGTACTCCAAACAACAGCATAAATCTTAGCTGGATGTGAAGATTTGGGTAATAACTGTTCTTCAACAGTCCATGCTTGTAGTAAGAGGTGACTAATTGGGGTTGTGTGGTCATGCTTGCTGACATGGTTGTGTGTCATGTGTCCCTGTTGTGTAGATTGACGCTCTTGATGTCACAGCTGGATTGTCTGACCTAACTTCAACAACCATCATTGCTGAGTGTAGCATTAAACAACAAATCAACATTAATATCTGGATTATGTGTCAAAAGTAGCTCAGTCATGAGTCTGTTTGTTGTTTAAAGATCTTATTATGTAATGTGAAAATATTAGAATGATAGGAAGTGAAATATTAATGTGTACATTTCAGTGGTGAATCCAGTTCCTCGCCTGCTGATTGCAACCAAGTCATCAGTCTCTGTGTCAGAAATGGATGGCCATCTTAACTCCACGGTCCTCCTGCCAGAGATCTCACCCACAGCCATGACATTTCTGGCACAAGATGTCCGCATGTTCTGGATCGAGAAGAAGACATCTCTCTATGTGTCCCAGAACTCCACAAACTCAGCAGTAAGTTGGACATGAGCATTGCCAGCCCTGGTTGTCAGTAACTAGAGCCTGGATTTTCGAAGCTCTCTTACCGCTAAGAGAGCTTCGAAAATCTAGGCCCAGTATGCTATGTAAACCGGTATTTTGTAGACCACCTCTGTGGTGTAGTGGTTAGAGCATCCGCCCAGAGAGCGGAAGGTTGCGAGTTTGATCCCTGGTTGCATCGTACCAAAAAAACTTAAAATGTGGTACTTATTGTTCCCTGCCTTGTGCTCGCTATTAATGAATAAAACAAGGACTGGTTGGCTCGGAGTCAATATAATGTGTCTAAATGGGGTATTCATGCTTAACTGTGGCATGGTATCTCAGTGAGCTAGCACTATAAAACCAGCTTAAGTCTGGGCTAGTACAAGCAGCCACACATACACATGCATGCACGTCCTCATATGAGCGAAATATTCTTAAGTGCGATGTTAAACCCCCATCACCCCACCTCACCTCACCTGTCTTTTCTACACTGTGTAGTAGTTAAGTCTATAGACAACAGTTGCATACAGTGACAGAGTCTCATTCCTCTCTAGACTTGCAAACAAATAATGATCATGTTATGTTTTTTTGTTTTTCAGTGCCTCCTTAACAGTAAATGTCTGAGTGTTTATGACCATTTTACTGTGTTAATATTTTGAACTACAGGGTTTTGGCAATAACAGCATTCAGTCACCTTAACCAATTGTATGATTCAACAAGTAGTTGAAATATGGAATGTAGTTGAAATGGTTCTGATTTGTATTTGTTTTAATTGTTTTGGGTATATATACTTTGTAGAGAGAGACTGCTGTTACAGATTTCTTTTCTTTCCTGCAAATGCTCAGCTTTCCTTCTCTTGCAGCTCATCAAACTGGATGGTGTAGGAAAGGACATGAGCATTGACTGGATCAGTCGGACTCTGTATGTAGTGGAGGAGATGGGAGACCTGAACAGAATCATGGCATTTGATATCGACAAGAAGATGTACCGGGAGATTATGAACAGATCTGTCTCTGTGGGCAGTGTTCTGTCAGACCCTTACACAAGGTGAATGTTGTAATATATCATGTACAATATGGCAGCCTTCTCTGCATTGTCACAGAACATATTCCAGATATGGCACCTATATTCCAGCATTGAAGGTCATGATCCCAGAGAATTAAGTGCAATAAAAGTTTTTACTTCTAAAAAGGTCCTATCCAAACAGGAAATGATCTTGCAGTTCTCTTCAAGAAATGTATGAAGTAGTCAGTGATGGCAAATATTGCAGTTAAATATGCAGCCTTTGTCTTTCACATTGGTCAATAGATGCTGTGGACAACATGATAGATGACTCATCCACATCATCCAGTGATATATTATCACTAGTCTTCCAAGTGTGTGTTTTTGTTTTATATTTTCATCAGGTATCTTTTGTTTACAGCTCCCTCTTCTGGACTGAGAATGACTCTTCCAATCAAGGCCACATTTTCCACAAACACTTCAACAGCAATACCGTGTCAGACCTTCTTGGTGGTGAAAGACGTTCTCGGAGGTCCACCGACAACTGCACTTGCTCAGATAGACTCAGTGTCTCACCTGTTGTTGCTATGGACTACTCAAGCAGTGGAAGGACAGAGATAGTGTTCATCGACATGCCAACATACAGCATCATGGCTACTGATGTGGCTGGATGTCAGTGTCGTGTTATCTTCAGAGCAACAGCCTCAAACACAAGGGGTAGGTTTGGGCAGACAGTATACCCTTTCTCCGTGTTACATGATATAATAGTCACTGCATTTTGTGTTCTCTGTCACTCTTGAAGGCTTATTCTGGTTAAAAGCCTGGATAAGCCATCAAGAGTGACAGAGAACAGAAAGTAAAACCAAAATGTAGATGGAAGCAAAAATCCAAATGCAAATACATTCAGGCATCCTTCCATTATGGTCACATGGTCCTCTAGTTTATAACTCTCTGTTATAATTGGTAAGGATAGATTGATAAAATATCTCCTGCCTTGATCTGTTGTATTTTGGACAACAGTTCCTGCTCCAGGGAAGTTTCTTTTGACATTGTATGGCACAGGTTACAGATGTTCTATCATATCAGTCCTAGCATCTTTCTTAAAATCTTGCTAGTAATGGGGCAGTTGGGTAGCTTAGTGGTTCACTCATCATGACGAGGACCCGGGTTCGATTCCCCACATGGGTACAATATGTGAAGCTCATTTCTGGTGTCCCATGCCGTGGAATATTGCTAAAAGCGGCGTAAACAGAACTCACTCACTCACTTGCCATTAACAAGCTTCAGCATCTTCTTCAGGCCTGCCCCCAAGTCTGCTGGCTGTGGATCACCTCCGAGTGTATTGGTACAACAAGGACAACAGTAAGCTGTACAGTGTCAACAAGAACACAGGACGGGACTACATCCAGCAGAGCATCCCAGACGTCCAGGACATAGTGGCTTATGGAGACCATTTGCAGCCCTTGCCGGGTATGTTCCAGTGTCTGTGTGTTCATGGATAAGATTTGATTGAAGGATGTGGGTAGATGGTGAGTATGTGTTCTGATGAATGGGGTTGGTTGGTGTGTTGGTGTGTTAACGAATGTGGTGGAAGGCTGGTTGGTTGGATGGTTTCAGCAAAATTTGAGCTATATGACGGTGGTCTGTAAATAAATGAGTCTGGACCAGACAATCCAGTGATCCGGAGCATCGATCTACACAACTGACATGATGACATATGTCAACCAAGTCAGCGAGCCTGACCACCTGATAGTGTTAGTTGCCTCTTACGAAGAGCATGGGTTACTGAAGACCAATTCTGACATGGATCTTCATGGGTTTGGTGGCGGAAGGTGTGGTTAGTGTTGAGTGTGTGTATGGTGGAGGGAACAGGGTTTATTGTCTGAGCAATTAATGTTTTCAGATGAATAGTTTCCAGAGAAAATATCCAAGAAACTTGACATTGGAAATGATGTATTTTGAATATAAATAGCTGTATATATCAATGTGGAGATAGGATTTCCTCTGGAAAGGATCTCAAGTGGGTAATAATATCGTTTTACACTCGAAGGGGATGTGAGTGTAGCGAGTGGGGATTATGAGAGTATTAAGGTACACTATGGAAAGAAACATTAGTTATGTTATGTTAGTTATGTTACATCATGCCAAGTGAGAAATTAGACTTTACAAATTGAGTGACCTCCCAAACCATTTGGGTGCTTTTTCAATTGAACCATGATTGTGTCTTCAGACTCGGAGTGCCTTGACCCTGGTAAGTACAGTGGCAAGGTCGCTGTGGAGGAGGTGACTGACAAGTCCATTGGCCTGCTTCTGGACGCTGTGACTCGTCCCAAACACTGTAAGGGCATCAGTACCCCCAGGACAAGTACACTGCTTGGTACAAGCAGCTGAAGGACAGGAAGGACACCCCACAAACTGACTGTAGAACTGAGAGTGAATCCTGCCAGAAAGTGGTGAGGACATTGTTTATAAAATGGTCAATTCCCAATGTCTGGTCCCCATTTCCTGTCAAAGCCTATCTATGTCATTGTTGATCATGTTTACTTTTCTCAAAGTTAATGTGTATAGTTTTAAAATAGAATCAGTTTAGAGTTTGAATAAAAGTTTTGATCATATTTCTTCAATTATGGTGTACAATATATATTAGTAACACGTTTTCCATAGATTACTTACTACAGACTAGACCCAACATATCATCAAGTTTAGGACATTAAACAAAACTCCTTGTTTACCCTTTTAGATTTTGGTCCTATATTCATGGCCCATGTACTGTAGTATGAATGTTGTAGTAAGTTCTATGTGTGATACTGAGAAATTGTGTCTATGTAATTGGGGTATTGGCCAGCTGCTAGACTGGACTGATATTGGGCCCAAGTCTATTACCCTTAACATTGCAAAATTGAATTGTCTCTCAAGTTATTACAAACTGCCTTTAATAGTGACTTTTTTTCACCATAAATGAGTGTATATTTGTGCAGGGATAGAAATACTTTTTTTCTAAGTGTGCCTTAGGGCACCAGACAAATATGTTAGGTGTGCCTTTCAGAAATTGAGTATGCCCACATGTTTTTAGAATAAATGACAGTGATGATGATCATTTGAAATTTATTGTTAAATAAAGAAATGGGTTTATGAGCATTTAAATATGTATGGTATTATTCAATTTGACAAAAAAAATGTTTGGGGGATTAAATGACTAAATGTGAGTTATGTCTCTAAAGAATTAGCCATGTCAAAAGGGCACAAAAATGTTTTTAGCCATGCCATTTCTGCATTTACTGTGCCGTGGCACACTAATATATGGGGAATTTCGAAACCTGTTATGTATTATTTTTGAAGTCTTAAATGTTTTCTTAGTTGTGATGAATGATGCTTGCATCCACAGGAGTCATATGACCGGTTTGTGAACATCACGGGGCTGGAGCCATACACCAAGTACCTGTTCCAGGTGACCATAAGTAACTACTACGGAGAGTACCTGGCGGAGACAGCAGGCAAGGAGGTTGTGCAGAGGACGAAACAAGGAGGTAGGATACCGTTGATGTAGAGAGCAGTTTAGTAGCATTAAGACGTATAATTCATGGAGTGAGTGGAATGAGGTGATTTGAGACTAGCCATATGCAAGAGCAGTTCAGTAACATTCAGACAAATAAAAAAATAGTGAGTGAGTGAAGCAAATACCAGGTAGGTAAGAGGCCATCCATTTGGAGAGCAGTTCAGTAGTTCATTAGCACATGTAAGACGTGTCCTCGAGAATGGGGGTAGTTTGGCGCCATTCAACTTCAAAGTGTTAAACTTCCTGTAAAGGTCACAGTCAAATGTGAGTTGATTAAATATAAGCAGAGAAGATTCCTGCTAACTGTACTCATATGTGTAACATTTATTTTTTTCAAGTCACAGTCCTAAGGCCAGACCAATTTTATTTCTTGTTTTACGGATTTTTGTCCTCAGAAAACCTAAAGGCATGAGGGAAAAAATAAAAATTAAAAATCACCAGTCAAAGTAATATTTCTTTTGCATACTAAAAGTATTTTATTTTTGGCAAGTTATGAAGTGTATATGGGGCAAAAAGCAATCAACAACAAGTTTACATTCTTTGCGAATAGAAACATGAGGATTTTATTTTTGGAGCGGGGAATAGGGGAATAATAATTAGTATTACTGTTATGGTTCAAGAAAATCACCTCTGTATGGTGATATCAACAGAGCAGGAAATGCTTACATCTGTGTCATCACAGATTTTCAGTGATCAGTTTTTCATATATTTTTAAATGCTATTTTGCCTTTTTACACCCAATGATTTATGTTTCAGTGGTTAACAGAGACTGGTCATTCTGTGGCATTGACATTGTATCTTTAGAAGGATTAATGTTGAATTCTGTCTGAACTATCATCTTCTTCTTACAGTGCCATCACCAGCTCAGAATGTCACTGCCTTCATAGTCGATCCCAGCATAATCCGTATTGAGTGGAACCCCCCTTTGAAGCTGAATGGACCACTACAAAATATTTCTTACGTGGTGAAGTGGTCAACCTTGAACTCCAAAGGCCACAACTTGGAAGGTCAGACCCGCCCTTCTGATGTTCGTGCATCACACTCTTTGACAACCACTGACCAAACCACCGTGACAGACCTGTCTCCAAGTCATACCTATACTTTCACAGTAAGTGGGGCTTCTGTTGAACTGGATCAAGCATGTACATATTTGACAGGTTAATGAAAATGTGTGCCCGTTTTAGCCCCCATGAACAAGCTCTTTGAACAATGCTACTCTCAGACTTGGTGGCTGTATTGAAATATTTTCAGTAATGTTACATTATTGCACATATCTGTGTATAATGAGAATAATTGTTCAAATTTAGTTTGTTGTGTATAAAAATGTCTATGGGAATGCATTTTCAAAATGGCCTCCTTGATAGTTTGCTTCACTATTTATTCTTTCTACTAGGTGAGGGCATATGGGGCTGACAACATGTCATACAGCGAAACCAAACCATTGACAGTAACAACCTACATGGACCCATACCCCATCACCCTGAAGCAGTCGTACCCCAATGCTCTAGAAATAGAGTGGCTGAGTCCTTCTGACAACAGTGTTGCCCGTCACACCTTCTGGTACTCTACGGTATGTGGGGATCTTCCTTCTTACAGAACTTGCAGATTTTGTCCCTGACTTTTTGTCTGTACTATTTGGAGGTCTTAAAGTAGCCTAGTGGTTTGGGTCGTCATATGAGCGAAATATTCTCAAGCACGACGTAAAACCCAATTTCACCTCAGTTCACCTAGTGGTTTGGGTCGTCATATGAGCGAAATATTCTCAAGCACGACGTAAAACCCAATTTCACCTCAGTTCACCTAGTGGTTTGTGTCAGATGGCCGTTCTGAAATCCAGAGTTTAAATTTCCTAAGTATGCATTATTTTAAATCCATACATAGCATGGCTGTCATAACAGGTCTGCTATTTTGCCTTTGAAGACATGCATCCTGTCATATTCATTAGTTTCGTAATGCATAGAGCAGTTCTGATTGGAGGATGTAATATCTGTAACTGTAATAGTCATAATATTATGACCAACAGACCTATTAAGCAAAGGAGCTGTGGGTAAGTATGAACATGCAACATGTAGAGAGTCCCAAATAAATATGACAGTCTAGTGGCAAAGAGGCTCATCTCCATACTGCCATCTTGTGTCATTATTCTTTAAATAACTCAACATAGCCTATCATAATTTTATAACTATTGCTGTTACAGATATTAGAGAAATGAAGGATGAATACAAATGAATATTAATGTGAAGCCCATTCATAGCATCCCATTCTGATGTTTCTGCAGTATTGTTGTGAAGTCGTGTATTATATTGCATTCACTTGTTAACTCATCTGCAAAACTGTTGTGATTCCAGAAAAAGGGTTCGGAAGGACGGACTACTCCGATCAAAATTACGAAGAACAACACGAAGTACACGGAGCTGATCCCTCACCTGGACACCAACACCGAGTACACCTTCCAGATCAGGACCATGTACAAGACTCCACCCTTTTGGTTCTACTCCTGGCCAGGAAATAACTCACTCACGTTTAAAACACTCAGTAAGTTCAAATCACATTCAACTTCAAAGTGTTTAACTTCCTGTAAAGGTGAGTTGATTAAATATAAGCAGAGAAGATCCCTGCTAACTTAACTCATACTCTACTTATCAGAAGAATTCCTATTAGCTGAAAGCCCCTTGTAAATCATTGAAATATCCCATGAACCCCAGGGAAAAGACGTTTGAGACTGTTTTGGTGACTGTGGTCCCAGTAGGAATAGAACGCTGCAGTTGAAAGAATCTGCCGTGTATTGGTGCAAGTGCAGACATTTTCCTATGGTTGTGTTGTGAGTACTGGCGTCGTCGCTTGCACCATTGGTTGCAAGGGCCTCATCATATCGGCTGTGATCGGAGTTGGGCATGGGTCTACGTTATTGACAACGTATCATTAGGCACTGGGACTTTTTTTTGTTGACTAGCACTGAGGTAGGCTATATTGCAGATTGTGTATGTGGAGGAAAAGGTGTAGACCTTGGAAATAAACCATTTCAGCAAGTTGCTTGTTTGTTTTATTAAATGTTGAAGAACAAGACAATGAGAGTGAGTGGGCTTTAGTTTTACTCCGCTAATTACGTCACCGGACACCAGACAATGAGCTTCACACATGTGGGGAATCGAACCAAGGTCTTCCGCGTGACGAGCAAACACCTTATCCACTTGCCTCCCCCACTCCTCCAGATAAGTGAGAATACCTGACTAGGAACATTGCCATTGAGAATTTCTTTATGTTGAAGCATCTGTTTATCTAGACCTGTTTAGGGCCAGTCTTAAGTCTACAGCCACTCATTGGTACCCTGTTCTATAGACTGCATCACCTCATAAAATGTGTTTTCCAGGCCATCAGAACATGAATCCACCAATTCAATTAACATTTTTACACCTTTTACAGGAAAAAAAAACTAATGCAAAAAGGAGTTCCTTTATCTGTTAGTAGTGAGTATGCCTTAACGTTGCTTTTAACCCAAAACCAGTACTCTACATATAGCATGTGTGAATCTCATTTCTGGTGCCCCCAGCCGTGATGCAACTGGAATATTGCTAAAAGCGGCGTAAAACCATATTCACTCACTTACTGCATATAACATGTCTCATATCTGCAGTCACAAGAATTACTCAATGTTTTGTCGGCATGGTTGGGGAAAGTCACTGGCCAGGTCAATGATCACATTAGCTTTACCGCTGCCCAATGCCTCTTCTCGTATATCTCCTTTACCCCCTGCTCGTGTTTCGAACCGCCCCCGCCTTCTATTCCCTATCCAGACAGTGCTAGTACCAGGCTCACTCGACACCACTAATAGGCACTATGAAGCTACACATACTCCTCTGTGTTATTCAACTGACCACACAGTTTCTAACTTCCCATGGAGGTAAGGATGTGTGATTTAGCCTTGCCGTTTGTTCGGAGTGTGAATACACCCACATGTTATGTATGTTGTTTTTACTGGTCAAGAAGTAATTGTGACATCGTTCAAATAACATTATTTACATTACGGTTTCCTGGGCTTGAAAAAGACACAGTCGTTCTTAGGGGCGGTGGGGTAGACTATAGGGGTGGGTATTGCAGAGAATTTTCATATTGCAATATATTGCGATGCGAAAGCATGTATTGCGATATGTATTGCAATTTATTGCGTGAAGTATTTTTACACAATAAACTACTTATAACCGAGGTAGTGCTTGATTTATAGAGCAAATACACAGCAAAATCACTATGCTTGATTAAGCTTTAATAACAACATTTATTCATGATTAAAAATAAAAATGTGAATAATATTCGGCACAAATGAAAAAAGGAAATATCCGAAGATTTCCGAGTGTTACGAAGTTTTCCGAATGAAAGTCAAAATACCGGTTTTCGATCAGCGTATCGCAATACGTATCGTATTCATGTCTGAACTATTGCGCAGCCCTAGTAGACTAGTGGTTAAAGCGTTCGCTTGTCATGCCAAAGACCCCAGTTCGATTCTCCATATAGCCGACACTAACAAGATCGGGTAGTCAGGATCGCTAACACATATCTTCGTTTCCCAAGTTCAAGTTCAGGAAATGATACACTGGATGGTCTGGTCCACACACGATTATTCACCCACTCTTTTACCTGGAATAATCCACGACGTGAGGTTAGTTTAGTTTACGCCGATTTTAGCAATATTCCAGCAATATCACGGCGGGGGACACTACATTGTACCCATGTAGGGAATCGAGCCCAGGTCTTCGGCGTGACGAGCGAACGCTTTATAACCACTAGGTTACCCCACCGCCCCGAGCTACGATGTATTTTGCAGGTGGGGGTTTTCTGACTTGAGTATGACGGCTAATGAAACCCAGTATTTAGTAGCTAAGTGGCAGTGATATTCGTATGTAACAATGTTCCCAGTGTCAAGCATCTGACATGTTTCCCCGAACACCTTCGAACAACGTCGAAGAGGAGCAGCCGGAGAGCAGCCGGAGAGGGGGCGTTGCCACTTCTTCCACCATGTAGGTCCCAAGCCATTTTACACCCCAAGGATGGATTAACAGGAATCGTCTTTTGCTCTACCCCTGATGCTGTCATGTCCCACACAGAGCGTGTGTCCATAAACGTTTCTTTGAATAGTGCTCGCATCATCCATATTATCCAATTCCAAGCAACTGAGTATCGCAAACATTAACACCTATTTACAAAACCCTACACCAACTTTTTTATCCCTATTCACAGTTTTTTATGAATATTTCCGGATCCCAGGAGTTGAACCTGTGTTTCCTTATTGTTTCTCGTCTGGCTGCAAGTTCGGCTACTTCAGATGCCTTGCATGATTCAGGAAAATCTTGAAGTCATTCTGAGAGCCTTGGGTTCGATTCCCCTTATGGGTACGTTGGAGCCAAATTTTGGTATTCCTCAAATATTGCTGGAGTATTAGCTGCGTAAAACCATACTCATGCATTCTCTCAGTCTTGTGCTTCACTTCGCAACTCACACTGTCTTGTCTTGTCTAGCATTGCACCAAGCTTGTACTGAATGCTAAGCCCGTGGATGTATAGTAAGTCTGTCCTTGAAAGAGTCAAGGCTAGATAAGCGGACAGTATCAGTCTAAGGATGCCAGTCTGTTAGAGGGATAACTATATTTTTAGAACTTTTAAACTATTAATTATTAAGACAGACTTGTGCATGTCTATGTCTTTTCTTGCTTCCTGGAACCCCATGCTAGTAATAATATCCCTGCAATGAAGATTCGGGTTAAATATGGGAATATTGCTAAAAGCGGCCAAAAACTAAACCCACTATAAACATCTATACGAATTTTTACCATGCTTTGATCGAGTAGGAGGTGATAAGGAGAGGTGAGGGGTCGAGATTCGTTGAAGCCCCTTCTTATCATATATTCTGGTATTGTAGGAGTAAGAGAAGCAGCCACAATATTGCCCCGTGCCCTTGCTGTGACCGGGGGAGGTTCGGTGTAAGGTGCATCCCCAACCACATCTGTAGCTGGAATATATCTAAACTAACGCACAAAAGAAAGTACACAGTTAGTGCTTTGGAATCATTAAAAAAAAATATAAAAATAAGCAACGTAAATAACATGTGTACAATGACAACTATTTGTTTTGTATTTTCTAAAATAATCCCCAAACACCAGGTGCGTCTTTTTGTGTGTAAGTCAGTTTTGTTAATGTATCATTTTTCAAGTGTATATTGCAATGTGTGAAGCCCATTTCTGGTGTCCCCCGCCGTGATATTGCTGGTATATTGCTACAAGCGGCGTAAAACCGAACTCACTCACTCACTCACTCAAGTGTATATAATACTTTATCTAACGTTTGTACTAATTTGAGGAAGGAACGTAAATTTATCGGTATTACAAACTTTATCTTGCCTGTTTCTATTTCTTCATGTGTGCGTATTCTTATTTATTACTTAAAGCTATATCTATGCATAACCAAAAATATGTGTGAATTTTTAACAAACGTAATTCTGTTCAGATACACAGATAAACCTGATGTCATTTACCAGTTAGACGTTGAGAACCCAATGCGTAATTTTGTTAACAAGACTGCAGCTGACCAGTTGCATAAATCGATGGCGCTCATGCTGTTGATCTCTGGATTGTCTAGTTCTGACTCGATTATGTACAAAGTGCCGCCATATAGCTGGGATATTGATGTTTGCGGCTTTCAACACCACCCAAACCAACATATTATCAATGTGACAAAAATCTTGCTTAACGTAGCAAGTCATACCCGACACAATCTGTTAGGAGCAGGATGCATGCGTTGCACCCAACCGGTTTACATTGTATTAATCTGGTTAATATTGATCATGTGGTGGTTTAGGTTTTCTATCGTCTTGTTACCAAACAGCCCTTAACTTTCAGAACAAACCAGCATAGTAGCTGCACCCTCAGACCTTGTATTAAATCCGGGCGACGTGGCTACATTTGAATGCGGGGCAACAACAGACTTGCGGACGACACTGATGTATAACTGGCTGCGCGACGCAGTCCCCATTGATGAAGCCGACATGCCGGTGGTCGTAAAGGAAGGCAGCCTCACCATCCTGAACGTCAGTAGTGAAGACACAGCTACCTACACCTGTGTGGCACACAATGGGATCGACAATGACACAGCTTCTGCAAAACTGCAAGTCAGAGGTAAGATGATAAAACATATTGGTTTTGTTCAGCTATATCCCATTTCCATTTTCGGATAATGCCTTATGGTTATTAATCCTTATTCCTTGACCAAATTAACACTTGTTCCCTCTGGAAAATCCTTTAAAATGTTCCTTATTCCGTAATCAAAGATACTCTCCTTGGTTTTGAACCCTGGTCTAAACTTTGATTTCCTGGAGTAAAGAAATATTTTTTCCCTGTTGTACTACTTGTTGTGCCCTGGATGTGCCTTATTCAAAAATCAAAGCAGTTACCCTTCCTGTTGAACAAAACCATTTTAAATGTTCATGATTTCATAAAAATATCTTTACTTCCTTACGAGGGGCGTCCCAAAAGTAGTCGGCCCCACTTAGAAAGTAAGACAAATGCAGCTGTTTTTTTATGTTTTATTTTTCTACATATTATCTGTCAACCGCAAGCAAATTGCTTTTGCCATGTTCCAGCCTCACGATCCCCGTTTTGTTTGACTTTTTATCTTGGGACCCCCCACCCCCCACACACACACACACACGCACGCGCGCGCACACACACACACACACACACATACCTGAAAGCAATTTGAAACTACAATCGCTTGTTAGAGTGACTCACCCCGTCATGTTTTGTAGAAACTACCCAACCCCTTTCAGATGACGTAATCATAAGTACATAACGCATTCTAATGTTTTCACTTATTCATACATGATGCCAAGGGTTCAAACTAAACACTGAACGGTCACACAAGTGTCAGCACTCAATATATTGTAAACAGTGCAGCTTGAATATCTGGACACAATGGTTTATGAAAGATTAAAATGGGATGTCCTTTAAAAACAGCCCCGTCTGAATATAAATCAAGCAATCCAAACCCTTGAATGTTGATTATGACGGGAAGTCATCCAATACTATACTGAACACATTTTATATGATATTATCTGAGGGCATACCATTATCCAAGAGATCGTTTTCACTTTCTGCAATTATTAAAGTAATATAATACCCCAATGTGTTGGGATGACTAATATCTCGTTAACCACATTACCCACATACGTGAAATTTTGGATATGGCTTTGCTAATGATTCCTTCAAAATAAAATGGAAGCTTTCCTAACATTGGACATCGAGAATATAGTTAGGCCGAAAGAACGAAGTATGCGGATGAAGCTAGTTGATAATGATACTTGTACTTTTTGTAAAATACCTCAAAAGACATATTGCACGTATTTTTTTACTGTGATTTAGTTAAAAACTTTTGGCAAAATGTAGAACAATTTCTAAATAGCCACCTCCAGTGTAATGTCACATTTACAAAATTCACTTTCATGTTTGGAGTGTGCTCAAACAATAAAATACTAAATCATATTATACTTCTTGCCAAAAGATTCATTGATGTTTCAAGTATAAATCAACAAGCAGTTTCCCTTGAGGGATTTCTTAAGTTATTAAAAGATATATGTACAACTGAAAAATATATAGCTAGGAAATCAATAGCTTAGATCCCTTTATAAGGAAGCGGAAACATTTATATACCTTATTATGTACTAAGCATTGAACTCTACTTATAATATCAGCTGATATTTCCAGACCCCACCCACTACAATCACATTATTCAACCTTATTCCTCCAATTTTATGGGGGCGGTTGGATAGCGTAATGGTGAAAGCGTTGGCTCGTCACGCCGAAGACCCGGGTACGAATCCCCACATGGGCACAATGTGTGAAGCCCATTTCTGGTGTCCCCCCGTGATGTTGCTGGAATATTGCTATAAGCGGCGTAAAACCAAACTCAGTCAGTCAGTCAAATTTTATGACTGACTGACTGAGTTTGGGTTTACGCCGCTTTATCCCCGTCGTGATGTTGCTGGAATATTTCTATAAGCGGCGTAAAACCAAACTCAGTCAGTCAGTCAGTCCAATTTTATGACTGACTGACTGAGTTTGGTTTTACGCCGCTTTTAGCAATATTCCAGCAACATCACGACGGGGGACACCAGAAATGGGCCAATTTTATATGCCCTCTACAGAAACTTTAATGATTTCTTATGTATCTATATATTTGTTATAACCTTACAAAACACCATTGATTTTGTTGTTGTTTTTTGTTGTTGTATATATATGACATAAAAGACCGTATATATATATATATTCTTTTATGTCATATGTATTTCATCTAAGACTTAAAATGGAATATATAAAAAAACACAACAAAAAACAAAATAACAGAAAAACCAAAAGCTGTCCATTACAATGTATGTTCCTCAATCGGTGACCAGAAAAAACATTCTTACTGCCGAACTAGCCTTTCTTTATGTTCCTTAATTTCCCTACACCCATGGAATTCCATTTCCTGATTAATGCTCTTAATGTTCTCTATTCCAGGGTCAGTAGAATCTTTCATCCTGTTTAACTAGTCATTCTTAATGCTGCGTACCTTTACACCCAAGTATTCTCTTATCCTGTTTAACTAGTCATTCTTAATGCTCCGTACCTTTACACCCAAGTATTCTCTTATCCTGTTTAACTACTCATTCTTAACGCTCCGTACCTTTACACCCAAGTATTGTCTTATCCTGTTTAACTAGTTATTCTTAACGCTGCGTACCTCTACACCCATGTATTCTTAACGCTGCGTACCTCTACACCCAAGTATTGTCTTATCCTGTTTAACTAGTCATTCTTAACGCTCCGTACCTTTACACCCAAGTATTCTCTTATCCTGTTTAACTAGTCATTCTTAACGCTCCGTACCTTTACACCCAAGAATTCTCTTATCCTGTTTAACTAGTCATTCTTAACGCTGCGTACCTCTACACCCATGTATTCTTAACGCTGCGTACCTCTACACCCAAGTATTGTCTTATCCTGTTTAACTAGTCATTCTTAACGCTCCGTACCTTTACACCCAAGTATTCTCTTATCCTGTTTAACTAGTTATTCTTAACGCTCCGTACCTTTACACCCAAATATTCTCTTATCCTGTTTAACTAGTCATTCTTAACGCTCCGTACCTTTACACCCAAGTATTCTCTTATCCTGTTTAACTAGTCATTCTTAACGCTCCGTACCTTTACACCCAAGTATTGTCTTATCCTGTTTAACTAGTCATTCTTAACGCTCCGTACCTTTACACCGAAGTATTGTCTTATCCTGTTTAACTAGTCATTCTTAACGCTGCGTACCTCTACACCCATGTATTCTTAACGCTGCGTACCTCTACACCCAAGTATTGTCTTATCCTGTTCAACTAGTAATTCTTAACGCTCCGTACCTTTACACCCAAGTATTGTCTTATCCTGTTTAACTAGTCATTCTTAACGCTGCGTACCTCTACACCCATGTATTCTTAACGCTGCGTACCTTTACACCCAAGTATTCGCTTAACCTGTTTAACTACTCATTCTTAACGCTCCGTACCTTTACACCCAAGTATTCTCTTATCCTGTTTAACTAGTCATTCTTAACGCTCCGTACCTTTACACCCAAGTATTGTCTTATCCTGTTTAACTAGTCATTCTTAACGCTGCGTACCTCTACACCCATGTATTCTTAACGCTGCGTACCTTTACACCCAAGTATTCGCTTAACCTGTTTAACTACTCATTCTTAACGCTCCGTACCTTTACACCCAAGTATTCTCTTATCCTGTTTAACTAGTCATTCTTAACGCTCCGTACCTTTACACCCAAGTATTCTCTTATCCTGTTTAACTACTCATTCTTAACGCTCCGTACCTTTACACCCAAGTATTCTCTTATCCTGTTTAACTAGTCATTCTTAACGCTCCGTACCTTTACACCCAAGTATTGTCTTATCCTGTTTAACTAGTCATTCTTAACGCTGCGTACCTCTACACCCATGTATTCTTAACGCTGCGTACCTCTACACCCAAGTATTGTCTTATCCTGTTCAACTAGTCATTCTTAACGCTCCGTACCTTTACACCCAAGTATTGTCTTATCCTGTTTAACTAGTCATTCTTAACGCTGCGTACCTCTACACCCATGTATTCTTAACGCTGCGTACCTTTACACCCAAGTATTCGCTTATCCTGTTTAACTAGTCATTTTCAATGTTGATTATTCCTAAACCAGAGACAACTAGTTCTTTTTGGTGATTTATCTCTCCAGCTCCTCCATCTGCTCCTGACAACGTGGTCATAACGGCATGCTATGCTAATTATGCCAATGTAGAATGGTCATTTGGCAAGACTCAGGAGAGCTTCTCTCCTCTCCTGGGTTTTATCGTGGAATATAATACGTCATTCACACCCAATGAGTGGATAGTCGGTGCCAGGACCTCTTCTGACAGTCGCTCAACTCAGATACAACTTTCTTCTTGGGTGACATACAGTTTCCGTGTTAAGGCCTTCAACGTGATTGGTGAAGGTGAACCAGGTGATATATCTCCGATTAAGTGTAGGACTCCTCAAAGTCGACCAGACCGGCATCCACGGAATGTCAAGACTGTTGGAGACCAGACCAACGTCTTGGTGGTTGAATGGGAGGTGAGTCAGACAAGTTCATGTCAGTATTGGTAAGTAACATAGAACATACGCCTGTGAACTCTATTTATCAGTTATGGTTGCGATAACTGTAAAGAAGGGATTTACAAATTAATTCATTGGAGTAAAGCATGGTCAATACAAACAACTGACACATATAGTGGTTGTATTAATATTCCATAAAGGCTTGTAGGCTATGCTGTTTAGTCCTGATGATGCATACAGATATATTGGCCACTGAAACACAGAAGGGATCTTGGACATGGACAAAACTTGGAGCTGCGGGTATTTAGTTATTTTAAGGAATTCCGTGTGTCCCCCAGTCCCAAGAATTTTAGCACATTTGAATGAATTGTTGTTGTTTTTCACTTTAGGCATCACCCTCCAAATTGGAGGTACAGTTGAAAATTATATTTTGAGATTTTTAATTTATCGAAAATTATCGTATTTGCATCACGTGAACTGCATAACCATTGGACATTAACACCTTTATAACACCTTTCACAGGTGCATGCTTGTTTACCATCAACACGAAAACTGATGTCATTTCAAAAGATGGGGTATATTCACAGACGATGCCTCAGATTGAACACAATGGACCTCACTTCTTCTATAGCATTGAGGTAAAGGAGAAGGATGGGGACATCTTGATGAACTTTGTGGAGCACGACTACTCTGTAGGCAGAAAGGAAATACACACGGGCACGATCTACAAACCATATATAATACAAGTAAAATCACAGAACTCTATGGGACGTCCATTCCTTAAAGCCCAGGCTATCACTGGGTATTCTGGTGAAGGTGGTAAGTTACTATCAGACATTTTAAGGTTGTCAGTAATTTCTTATCTCACTTGTAATGCCACATAAGACATTACAGTGGCCTCAGGTGAGGTGTTGAAATAGAACAATAAATAATTGAGCCTGTGCCTTCCACGGCCATTTCAAGGAGAATCGTATGATTCTTACTCATGAGTTATTAGACCAGGGTTATAGCTTAAAATGCCTTATAATGGCTTTCAAAACGTTTTATGGCAAGTATGTGCAGGACATTCACTCAACACTGACCAAACGTTTATCGGTTGGAGTTATTTATATTGATGTTTACAGTACCAACTGTTGCTCCTACCAACTTTGAACTCGACAGTGAAATGGACGTGACTGCAACAAGTGCAAGATTTCGCTGGGATCCCGTTAGCACCAGCGCTGAGGTGATACGTGGAGAGTACAGAGGCTACAAGGTATAGAGTGAATGGGTTAATATCGCTGGAACTCACTCTATTTGATGGTATCGTTACAAATTGATGACATTTGGTCTATCTGATCATTTTGTTTCTATTTAAAAGACATTATCCTTTATTTCTGGACATTGTTTGGGTTACAGGTTCGCCACTGGAAGAGGAACCAGAAGGAGACAAGCCTCCGTGAGGTGTTTATCCCGGACAGTACAGAAGCTAACAGTAAACAGAGGTTGAGACGAACAGGAAACAAAGTCTGGGTTGACGTCCACAGTTTGCCACCTTACTCCCATGTTGAGGCTGATGTTGTGGCTGTCAACACCTACTTCAGCTCTGAAGGCAGCAACATCCTCCGCTTCTCAACAGCAGAAGGAGGTAGGCAATGCGGAACGTACCTCGTATGTTTACTATTCTTTGAATAGTTTCCAGTGATGTTTCTAAATGAAAAATGTTTCTGTATCTGAATAATAGAAGAAGCATATCCATGACCAAGGTACCAAAACCTGTTTTGAGGAATTACAATGACCTTTCTGAAAGGATAACATATTTAACAGAGCTTCATAGACCCCAGCGTATTACTGACTCTATATTGATACTGCTATGTATTATCACCGATTTCTATTACAGTGCCCTCTTCAGTAGAGTACGTAAATGTAACTTACCGAGGCTCAGAAGATATCGAGCTGGAGTGGGGACAACCTGGGGAACCAAACGGTATCGTCATTGGCTACCGCGTCGGATACAGGAAGGGTAAGTTAACGGAGTCAATACTTTCTACTTTCAGCCCTCTTCATTTCTTTGCCCCTCTCAGTCAAAACAACCCATTTGTTTTAGGGTGTAAATGTGCATGTGCCTTGTTGGGTCCACCACAAAAATACTAGGTCAAGATCACACAAAAACTCCTGAGTTCTGATATTTGGAGATAAACATTATGTGTTGGCCGATTTCCGGGTGTTATTGAGTATTTGAAGCACGGGAAGTCATTTGGAACCGACTTAACCATAAACGAAAACCTTTGCAGCAACTCGATATTCCCAAGGTTTTAACCTTATCTTATTATTCTTTATTCCACGATTTTAGAACACATGCTATTCATTACTGCATATTGATTGTGTCTGTTGATGGCGTCAACTATTGATGTATGTATTTATGTATGGCGATTAGTTATCTTAGGAATTACGGAATCTTAGAGAGAGTAATTTGTTCGTTTGGAATCATGTATCATAATGTGCTGTTTCAGTTCAAGGTCTTCATTATGGTGATCTGGAGATCAGTGAGATTATTGCAGAGAGGCGCATGTTGCTTGGAGGTCTAACCCCTGACACTTATTACCGTGTGTACGTGTGGGGCTTGACACGGGTCGGGCGTGGCGAGGAGTACTACACTGACATTCGAACGGCTGAAGAAACGCCAGGTATGGTCACCCATCGGCACCCTTCTGTTAAATATCACACATGTATATTGATAGTCATGAAAGAAGGAAATGAAATAAACATTTCTGACTGTATTTCATGATCTGCAAGATCAGAGTGTGAGAAGTGAAGTGAAATGGACATGGTGATTTTGAGAATATTTTGATTTTGTATAAGCAAAACCCGAATCGATGCAGATAAAATCTGAAACAAGATCAGCTAAGCCTATGAAGGTTTGCAGAATTAAGACCAATTTGTACTTCTGAAATCTTTCTTAAGAGACGTGTATTATTGGGAAATTGACATCTGGTGAAGATTCAGCTTTAAAGAACTATCCACAAGACTGTATGAGAAGTGGAGTGAATTTCCAAGTGTAAAAGTTCCTCTTATGTTGAGCATTATTTCTGCAGCTTCAGCATTTTGTGTCTTCGTTTCACAACAAAAGGTACAAATGAACATGCTCGTCACAAGAAGGTTTCAAAAGAGCCTCATATGACTTTTGTTTAAACGTTGCATCACCAGGGTTACAAAACTCAGCTTTCAAAACGTTTAACTGTGTATGCATTGGGAACATTGGCAAAGTGATTCCTGCTGAAATTTGCACCGTTCAAATGAACAATATACTTGCCTTGCGTCTCTATAAAATGAGAGCCATCGTTGTGACAGGATACTCGAATTTTGTTCGCAAAACCCATATATGCGCATACTCATAATATATACAGAGTAAAAAAAGAAACTTCACAAAATGTAATTTGAAAAATATTGAATAATGTTTCTCTGGTGATAAATCTATGTATCCGAAATGGGATCCCTATCTTTCGACTCTAGAAAAACGCTAGCAAAACCCACTCAAATCCATCCATTCCTCTTGCAAATGACGTTAGTGCCAAATCAGGTTTTGCACGTGCAGTCGATCACGTGATCTTCGCATCGAAGTTTTCTTCATATGCACGTGTTTGCATTGGCCTCAAGAATTGAAAAAACACTTTTAAACTACAGTTCTAACGGTACTTGAAGTGCCACGATTGTCAAATGTGCAACGTGAACGTGCCGTTGGCATGTTGCAAGCGGGAAGATCAGTTATTGACGTCGCAAGAGCAATGGGATGCAGCCGTCGTACTGTGTATGACTTGCAAGGTCGCCTACAACAAACTGGCACCACTTCTGATCGCCCAAGGTCGGGTCGTCCACGTGACCTTAATCCAATAGAGCACGTTTGGGATGCACTTGGGAGAAGGCTTCGTGGTCTTAGGAACCAACCTCAGAATTTGCAGGAACTTGGCGCTGCCTTGCAAGAGCAATGGCGCAGAATCCCCAACCACGTGTTCACAAGCATCAGGCAGTCGATGAGGAGACGGTGTTTGGCAGTGGTGAATGCGCGGGGCGGCCATACACGATATTGAACTGAGAAATTTCGCATTTTTATTCTTGTGACTTAACATTCTGTATAGCCATGTTTTGGAACGGCGGTGTAGCCTAATGGAAGTGATTATGGCACTGTCAGTGTATCGAGTACATCCCACAGATCTCAGCAATGAAATAAATAAATAATAATCTTGTTCTTTTATAGTGCCCTGAAGAAAGAATGTTTCTTTTTTGACTCAGTATACTTGGAATCTTGTAATCCACTTTGCTTTTGTGAATCTCAGCACCGTATCCTATTCTTTATTAGAGAAGTTGTTCATGTTTTGATTGTCCTTCAAAATGCACAGATGACTCAAAACATGAGAGGAAGGAATAGCCATCCTTCAATGAAAGTAACTGTACTTACATAATGATTACTGAACAGCATAATGAGTATGAACATTGTATTATAAGCTGTAAATGTGTGCGTCTAGTTTCACTTCCAATTTCTTGATAAATGAAAAGAGAAAATCTCAAAATTAAGACAATGAATTCTATTATCCAAAAGATGTCCCTGAACGCACCCTGTATCTCCACACAAAGTTAATGGTAACAGACTGAGATATGGCGTTCTATTCATGAATACAAGCTCTTTGCCGAGCTACACGACCATGTGGCACAAGACCATGTTATCACATGGTAGAGCTGACGCAAAATAACCACTTTAAAGCAATTGGCTAACCACAATAGCAGTGATGTGTATGCATTAGCAGCAAGACAGCCATGTTGCCGTTTTAAGTAAAATAAACTTAAAGTACGCATGACAAGGTTTACAAGATATTCCATTCTATTCAAAGTTGTTTTAAATGCCCTATGTCGTCTGGTACTGTTAATGAGATATGAGGTAACTGATGCTGAGCGTTCAGATAAAGACCATTAGTCGTGCTACGACTACACCTTGTCGTCACAACCTCATCTCTTTTGTTCAGTTTATAAGTTAATATACACGATTACGACTTACTTGACACATGTCATCGTATCCCAGTTGCGTACATCGATCCCCATGCTGCTGATCACTGGTTTGTCAGGTCCAAACTCGATTATTTACAGACCGCCCCAATTTAGCCTAAATGTTGTTGAGTTCGGCGTAAAACTAAACTCACTCACTTACATTTAGTCCACTCAGATCAGATACATTGAATTTATGAATACAATAAGACACCAAAGTGTATATATTCTCCAGACGTGTTTTCGAAAAGCTCTCACGTCTTCTGAATAATACAAACATTTCTTCCATCATCTGTATAATCTACCAATTCTTCGTAGTGTTACTTTCCTCCAGAAACAATTGAGATACATCATGGACCACATGACCTTGCATTAATTCAAGGCAATGAGGCTGTGTTTACATGTCGAGCAAGAACTGGCCCACTGAAGACTGTGGAGTATAAATGGTTACGCAACGGAGTCCATATTGAGGTGGATGATCCTAATGTAAACATCGAGGAAGGCAGCCTTACCATCCTTAATATCACCAGTATAGACACAGCCAATTACACATGCGTTGCATACAAGGGTATTAACAATGCCAGGCCACTGCAAAACTTCAGGTTAGCGGTAAATCAAAACGAAATGAGTGATTTTCCTTTATAAAACATTTTCTTCAAGATACAGCCAATTTTATTGCATCGAAAACCTCCTTCTGAATGGTCCTCCTTCTTTGACCAAAACATTCATTCCTCCTGTTGAACAAATCCTTCTAAACAGTACTTATTCGTTGGAGGAAATCACATTTGGAAATTCACCGTCACATTTACAAACTGGCACGAAATGACGTCAACAAATGCATACGGAAAGCCAGATCTGATTACTTCAATGCAGAAACCACATCTAATGCTGATAATCCTAAACGCCCTTTCTGCACCCTCAACAAACTCCTCGGGAAGATATCTGACGTAGTTCTACCACAGGGTGACGATGCTGCTCTTGCAAATGATTTCCAAAATTACTTCTCTGAAGAAATCACATAAGTTTGGTAGTCTCTGTGATGATGTCTCTTATAAAGAGTTCCAAGGACAACGCTTAACATCTTTCACACATGTGTCTGAAAATGACATTAGGAAAATCATAACATCATCAAAACCAACATCATGTGAGGCAGATCCACTCTCAACCAAATTCCTACTGAAAGTACTAGACACCATTCTGCCTGTTATCACCAGGATTGTCAACTTTAGTCTCTCATCTGGAACAGTGTCCAAGTGCTTTAAACAGGCAGTGATAAAACCTCTGATAAAGAAGCCATCATTTGAACCCGAAAACCTCAGCAATTACCGACCAGTTTCTAATCTTTCGTTTCTTTCTAAAATCCTTCAAAAAGTTGTCAGAAGTCAGATGCTTGGGCATTTACAGAACTTCAATCTGATTGATAAGTATCAATCTGCCTACAGGACTGCACATAGCACCGAAACAGCTCTCAATGGTGTTCTGGACAACACCAAGATGTCCGTAGATGACGGTAATATTTCCCTGCTTGTCCTTTTAGACCCCTCAGCTGCCTTTGATACTATTGACCATGCAACATTGTTAGCAAGGCTACAGATCGAATATGGACTAAACAGCACAGTCCTGAGATGGTTTTCATCATATCTAGAAGATCGTGTACAGTCTGTTCAAATTAACCGGACACTGTCAGACAGACATGTTCTTGAATGTGGAGTGCCACAAGGCTCAGTTTTAGGACCAATACTGTAAACTATGTACACCAAATCTCTGGGACAACTGATCTCTGATCATTGCATTACGCGGCACCTTTATGCTGATGACTCCAAATTAGTGGACAGCTTTTAAACCAAGTCCAGACTGTCAGCAGAAGGCCAAGGATAACATGGAGTCTTGTCTCAGTGATGTCAAGTCATGGATGACAAAAAACAAACTGGTCTTAAACGATAGTAAAACAGAAGCTATCATTATTGCTCCACGTCAAAGACAGCAGAAGTGTCAGCTTTCTTCCATTTCCATTGGACAATCCTCTATCCAATTCTCTCCCTCTGTAAGAAATCTTGGTGTTTATTTGGACTAAAATATAACTATGAAAAATCATATCAACCGCTTATGCAAAATATGTCACTTCCATCTCCGAAATATTGGTTCCATACGCAACATCTTAACTATGGAAGCAACGGCCACCCTCGTTCAAACTCTAGTTCTATCCCGCTTGGACTACTGTAATAGTTTACTATGTGGTATCTCTGATGAACAATTACAGCGCCTCCAGAAAATACGGAACCAGGCTGCTCGCATCGTCACAAGGACAAAGCTACGCTCTCATATTACCACAGCTCTCAATTCTCTTCACTGGCTCCGGATCCGCGAGAGGATTGAATTTAAACTGCCCTCCCTTGTTTATCAGTCTATTAATAACATTGGCCCAGCATACCTCCAGGACTTGATAACACTGTACAAACCGGAAAGATCTCTCCGCTCCAGTGATCAACTCTTGCTAGTTGTCCCCGTGTACAAACTAAAACCTTTCAGGAAAATTCTTTTTCTCATGCTGCTTCCACTCTCTGGAACTCACTACCATCGGATCTTAAAACCTCTCCATCACTCCCAGTCTTTAAGTCCAAACTCAAAACTCACCTCTTTATGAAATATCTGTGAACGTCAACTTTCCTGTACATAGAACCTGTATATATGTTATGCGCTTTCAGCATGTCCCTGAGTGATGTGGATGAGTCGCTATAACAGTATTCTTATTATGTTTTACAGATTAAAGATGAAAATGCAGCAGAGAGGGTTCAGGTGATCCTGGCACAGTCAGGCTGGTAAGGCTCATCATCAGCTCAGGGCCCTCGCCCCCTCTACACTCAGCCCAGCCAGTGAATGGGACTTCTCCCAGGAAACACTGCCTAGTCGAACCCACCAAGAAGGGTTGTGCTCCCGGTGGAGAACCTGGGTACTCTCCTGATCTGCGCCAAGAGATCAGGAGGTACCAAACCAAGGGCACCGAGAACAATGGGGAGCCTGACAAGGGTGTACTTGGGATGCAAGCGAGACATTTCAAAGGCGAGTTCCGCATATTTATCATGATTTTCCTTAATCTTGCCAATCACATTGGTGTCAAAAGGGACAGAAAAAGGAAACAAAAGGGAAGCCCTCAGTTTCACATTTAAGACCAGCCGACTTCATCCAGGCGAAAGAGTCGGTGGGATTCTATTCCATTCTGCTCAACACACTGCATGTACACACGATGCAATGACTTCTCAGAAAGCTTCTCCACAAAAGACCGACTCTGGGCAGACTGGTTTACTCCTATCACTGTACCGTCCAGCAGTACATCGCCATCAACAAAATCAACCTCAAATTTCAGATTCTGTCCAACAACCTTGGCACGCTTAAAATAGCTGTGGATTTCCTTGCTTTCATCATGAGTCTTCACATGCATCACTAGAGGATCATCCGATAAATAAATATGTGCAAAAGTACACAATAAAATTCTATCATGAAGAGCCTCCACATTAATCAAACCCCGACCTCCAGAATTGATTGACATGTATAAACGGTTAAGAGAGGAACGAGGGTGGTGGGCTCTGTTATCAGGCATGATCCTTCTGGTCAGACGGTCAAGACTCTGGATGTCTTGTTTTGTCCAATCAACTACTCCAAAGGAATAGGAAAGGACTGGCACAGCAAAAGTATTGGTGGCTTTGACCTTGTTTCGAGCTTATTATTATTATTATTATTATGTTTTACAGATTAAAAATTGTATGCAGCAGAGAGGGTTCGGGTGATCCTGGCACAGTCAGGCTGGTAAGGCTCATCATCAGCTCAGGGCCCTTGCCCCCTCTACACGCAGCCCAGACAGCGAATGGGACTTCTCCCAGGAAACGCTGCCTAGTCGAACCCACCAAGAACTTTCCGGAGAATATGAAGGCTCCCCAACACTGCAGCCTTCTGCATTACCCAGAGTGTCAGAAGGGCTGTGCTCCCGGTGAAGAACCCGGGCACTCTCCTGATCTGCGCCAAGAGATCAGGAGGTACCAAACCAAGGGCACCGAGGACAATGGGGAGCCTGACGACAGTGTACTTGGGATGCAAGCGAGACATTTCAAAGGCGAGGTCTGCATATTTATCATGCTTTTCCTTAATCTTGCCAATCACATTGGTGTCAAAAGGGACAGAAAATTCAATGATATAAATAAATTCATTGGCTTTATCAAAAAGGACAAGATCAGGTTTGTTAGCTGGAATTCTTCTGAGGCTGTATATGGGCCTATTCCAGAGAACTTTGAAAGCATCATTTTCCATGACGCCCTGGACATGTTCAGGGTCGTACCATGGATGGACCTCGGAGTCAAAGCCACAGGCATGTCGGAGACGGTAGTAAAAGCAACGAGCCATGCCATCATGTCGTTTAAGATATGCTGTTTGTGCCAAGGAAGGGCATCCACTGACAAGGTGTTGGACAGTCTCTATTATTATTATTATTATTATTATTATTATTATTTACAGATTAAAGATAGTATGCAGCAGAGAGGGTTCGGTTGATCCTTGCACAGTCAGGCTGGTAAGGCTCATCATCAGCCCAGGGCCCTTGCCCCGTCTACACGCAGCCCAGATTCGAGCTTATTATTATTATTATTTTTTACAGATTTAAGATAGTATGCAGCTGAGAGGGTTCGGGTGATCATGGCACAGTCAGGCAGGTAAGGCTCATCATCAGCTCAGGGCCCTTGCCCCCTCTACACGCAGCCCAGACAGCGAATGGGGCTTCTCCCAGGAAACGCTGCCTAGTCGAACCCTACAAGAACTTTCCGGAGAATATGAAGACTCCCCAACACTGCAGCCTTCTGCATTACCCAGAGTGTCAGAAGGGCTGTACTCCAAGTGGAGAACCCGGGCACTCTCCTGATCTGTGCCAAGAGATCAGGAGGTACCAAACCAAGGGCACCGAGGACAATGGGGAGCCTGACGACAGTATACTTGGGATGCAAGCGAGACATTTCAAAGTCGAGGTCTGCATATTTATCATGCTTTTCCTGAATCTTCCCAATCACATTGGTGTCAAAAGGGACAGAAAATTCAATGATATAAATAAATTCATTGGCTTTATCAAAATGGACAAGATCAGGTTTGTTGGCTGGAATTCTTCTGAGGCTGTATATGGGCCTATTCCTGAGAACTTTGAAAGCATCATTTTCCATGAGGCCCTGGACATGTTCAGGGTCGTACCATGGATTGACCTCGGAGTCAAAGCCACAGGCATGTCGGAGACGGTAGTAAAAGCAACGAGCCATGCCATCATGTCGTTTAAGATATGATGTTTGTGCCAAGGAAGGGCATCCACTGACAAAGTGTTGGACAGTCTCCGTGAATTCATTGCAAAGTCGACATTTCATATTGATATTTTCTTTAAGAATGACATTTAGGCGATTGCGAATGAGAAGTGACTGGTCCTGAGCTGCAAAAAGGAAGCCCTCAGTTTCATTTATTATTATTATTATTATTATTATAATTATGGAACAAACTAGTTCGTGCTAGTTTTCCGCATTCTTGAACCACATAAGTCAATCTTATCGTTGAATGAGTCCTTTTACATTTTTCTTATTCTTAGACCAAAATTATCCTTCTTGTTGCTGAGCATGGTCTTTTTAACGCACCTAGGCCCACATGCATTCGTCTTCCTGTTAAACCAGTCCTTTTTTAAGAACCTTCTTCTTGTTTAGCTACTCCTTCTGAAGGTTCCTAATTCCAATAACAAGAATAATTCTTCTGCACTTTACTTAGAAAATGCAATCCTCAATTTCACACTTCTTACATTTGACGTCTTTCAGAAAAGATGCATTGTCTACCCATAGTGTTCAGTCTTAGGAGCCGTGTCAACTTAAACCTGATAGAGTGGTGTACTAGAACTTAAACCTGTTACAGTGGTGTACTCTAGATAAGTATGTTATCTGGTATACCATTTTAATGGAAGCCCCAGTGACTGAGTGAGCTAGATAAGAGACTTTGTATGCTGATGATGTAATGCCTCACTCTTAGTGTGTGGGATCAAAATCCAGGTAGGAATCACCTCCATAATGTCCTAGAATCTTTATGTTACCAATGAAATGTAATTCCAAATATAACACCTGTTACCTTTTACAGTCTCTCTTTTCTCTAGCTCCCCCATCTGCTCCTGACAACGTGGTCATAACGGCATGCTATGCTAATCGTGCCAATGTAGAATGGTCGTTTGATAAGACTCAGGAGAACTTCTCTCCCCTCTTGGGATTTATCGTGGAATACAATACATCATTCACACCCAATGAGTGGGCAGTCGGTGCCAGGACATCTCCTAACAGTCGCTCAGCTCGGATACAACTTTCTCCATGGGGGTCATACAGTTTCCGTGTTAAAGCTTTAAACGAGATTGGTACAGGAGAACCAGGTGATATATCTCCGGCTAAGTGTAGGACTCCTCCAAGTCGACCAGACCGACATCCACGAAATGTCAAGACTGTTGGAGACAAGACCAACTTCTTGGTGGTTGAATGGGAGGTAAGCGAGATAAGTTAAATGCCAGTGCTGAAAGTTCTGCTTGTAATGACATTGAATACATTGAAATGTGACGAGGTTATTTCAATTCAAACGACTGACGTAAACAGTGGTAATATTTTCAAAAAGGCTTGTGGGTTTGTTGTTCAGTGCTAATGATGCTTTGAGAAATATTTGCACCGCTGACATTGGCTACTGTAACACTGACAGGGCATTAGAAGTCATCATTCAGACCAGGACAAAATTCAGCCTAATATTATGACAGAAAAAATTGAGTCAGGTGTAAAATAATTTATTTCAATTGTATTTCAAGAACTACTGCAATATATGTATTTGATCTTAGGAAAGATTGTTCAACCAATATCTCGGTCTAAATGTGTTCGAATTTGAAAATCAGCTTCTTTCTTTAAAGAGAGGTACAGTGGAAAGTCCCAATTTGCTAATCCTTTCATCAATTTACATACTATTTTGTTGAAGTTAAAAACGCTCAAGTTTTGTTCAACCAATACCTTGAACACAATACCTTGAGTTATATTTTGCTATTTTGAATTTATCAAGAATTATCACAAAATACATCTTTTGAGCTCGGCAAAAACAATTAATTTTACACAAATTAATTAATGGTAAATTTTAAAAACCTGTCAACGAAGGACAGTAAAATAACTAGATTATCACAAATTCGAATTTAAAGTTAGTAATTAACTCTAATACAGTTTAACTATAGCTGACAATACAAAATGAAAAGAAGCTATATACTGCTAACAAATGAAGGTAGATCATCATTCAAGGGACCATGGGGACTTGCAGTACAATTGCTTCCTGCATGGGCCCTAGCTGGATTTACATAATCTCTTCAGCTGTCAGATATTTAGATATATCTAGACATACATATTTTTGTTTTGAGGAAAGGTGCAGTGGACAGTTTGATAATATATTGTTGTTCAACTGGAATTGGTATTAGTACACCTTGCTTCATGTTTTGGCTTGTTTAAGATTGTGATCCCAATAATAATTTTGGTCTGTATCTCAGGTAAGTACCCATTGGTCTCAACATCTTTATAATACCTTTCACGGGTACATGCTTCTTTACCATCAACACGAAAACTGATGTTATTGTAAAAGAGGGGATATATTCACAGACGATGCCTCAGATTGAACACAATGCTCCTGACTTCTCCTATAGCATTGAGGTGAAGGAGAAGGATGGGGACATCATGATGAACTTTGTGGAACACGACTACACTGTAAGCAGAAAGGAGATATACACGGGCACGATCTACAAACCATATATAATACAAGTGAAAGCACGGAACTCTGTGGGACGTCCATTCGTTCAAGCCCAGGCTATCATTGGGTATTCTGGTGAAGGTGGTAAGTTACTATCAATCATTTTAAGGTTGTCAATAATTTCAGAACTTTGCATCAATATCTTCGTCAAAACGTTTGCAGAGGTTATGGAAAGGGCTTGTTCGTTTCACTTAGGTTTGAAAATATTCCAATGGGAGTATATTATAAATAATCGATTTTCACAGCACCAACTGTTCTTCCTACCAACTTTGAACTCGCCAGTGAAAGGAACGTGACTGCAACAAGTGCAAGATTTCGCTGGGATCCCGTTAGCACCAGCACTGAGGTGATTCTTGGAGAGTACAGAGGCTACAAGGTATAGAGTGAACGGGTGAGACAGAGATGTGCACCCTCTGCCATGCCAGTTTCAATTATACTCTTACCGTCAAGAACTAAAAAGGCGAAAATCAGAATATAAAGTATATGTATCGTTTTTAGTTTTTTTATTAACACCGGAAATAGAACTGAAATCTTTAATTGATACTTCACCGACCTTTGTTTAAAAATTGGCAATGATTTGCTCACCTCGTTAGATTAGAAACAGACTTCAGTACAAAGCTTGAATTGAATTATCAACTCAATGGTTTGTTGTCACTTTTGTTCCTGCTGTAATTGTTTAGAATATTGATAGTTGTAAATTCTGACCATCTGAACCCGTCCTCAACTTAAACCAAGGCGCTTGCCTTCTCTGGACCTGAATAATCTCTCCAACATTTTAGACAGTGGATATAGTCTTTTGTTGACTTTCTTTCTGTTTGAGGACATTGTTTCTATTTGGGGACTGTGGGGTTAAACGTCTGCTCTTCATGCTGAAGACCCGGTCTCGATTTCCCACATGGGTACTATGTGTGAAGCTCATTTCTGTTGTGTCCCGCCATCATATTGCTGGAACATTGCTAAAACTCGTTCTATTTGATGGTATCGTTACAAAGTGATGACATTGGGTCTATCTGATCATTTTGTTTCTATTTAAAAGACATTATCCTTTATTTCTGGACATTGTTTGGGTTACAGATTCGCCACTGGAAGAGGAACCAGAAGGAGGCAAGCCTCCGTGAGGTGTTTATCCCGGACAGTACAGAAGCTAACAGTGAACAGATGTTGAGACGAACAGGAAACAAAGTCTGGGTTGACGTCCACAATTTGCCACCTTACTCCCATATTGAGGCTGATGTTGTGGTTGTCAACACCTACTTCAATTCTGAAGGCAGCAACATCCTCCACTTCTCAACAGCAGAAGGACGTAAGCAATGTACAACCTACTTCGTATGTTTACTTATTCTTTGAATAGTTACCGAAAATGTTTCTAAATGAATTTCTTTATTTGTTTAAAAGACCCAGAACCAAATCCATAATAGAACTACCGAAACCTGTTTGAGGTATTACAAAAACGTTTCTGAACAGCTTCTTTAGCTATTTAGAATATTGTCAGAGACCCATGCATATTACATACATGTATTCACACTGGTATGTTTAATCGCTGATTTCTATTTCAGTGCCCTCTTCAGTAGAGGACGTCAATATAACTTACCGAGGCTCAGAAGACATCGAGCTGGAGTGGGGACAACCCGGGGAACCAAACGGTATCATCATTGGCTACCAGGTCGGCTATAGGAAGGGTACGTTAAAGGAGTCAATATCTCCTACTTTCAGTTCTCTTTGTTTCTTTACCCCTCTCAGTCAAAACCATTTTGCTTCAGGATATACATGTGCAGGACCCTTGCAGGGGTCGACACTAAAGATACTTTGTCAAGGTCACACAAAAGCGCCGGAACTCTGATCAATTGATTAGCAGATACTCTCGGGTATAAAGAAATGTTTGATTATCGATTTTTCTCAGTTCTTTGACCAACTTTGAAAATACTCTTTACTGGCAAGGGGGCTTCATGAACATCTCTGTTCCAGGGAGCGTTTGCCAAATGCAGACACTTATCAGTGATAGTGATTGTAATGTACATGCAGCAGCTGCTATTCCTCTTGCATTTGAGTGGAATTCAGTGTTCACTGTATGCATTTTAGATGTAAAAATACATTATCTGCATACCATGTATCTTCAGGTGTTATGACGTTTGCCTATGGGTCCTTTAAGGTTGCATTAAACATTTCCACACTAGTATTTTCACCTCATATATTGTGTAGCCTTTAAACTGCTGGGTAGTTTGTAGTTTGAAGCCTCTTTTACTCATCATTCGGGGGCGGTAGGGTAGCCTAGTGTTAAAGCGATCTCTCATCAAGCCAAAGCCCCCGGGTTCGATTCCCCTCATGGGTACAATATATGAAGCCCATTTTTCTGGTTTCCCCACTGCGGTATTGATGGAATACTGCTAAAACTGGGGTAGAACCCAACTCACTTTCTCACTCACTTATCATACGTGGTGCAGATGCCATTTGTTTATCATCCCTTTGGTTGTCAGCGTTCACCCCATGCTATATAGGTATGTTAATGTATCTTTCTTCTTACATGAGAAATATCTTTCTTATTTACATACTTAATTACTTCACCATAAATAAAACACCTTAGCATCCTCGACATTTGCTTTTCCCCAAGTTTTTAACCTTAACTTGCTATTCTTTGTTCCACGGTTATAGAACACATGCTATTCATTACTTATGTCATCATATCGACAGTGTTTGATAATGGCGTCAAATATGGATGCATGTATTTATGTATGGCTATTATATGCAATTTTAGAGGCAGTATTTTTTTATATTTTTTTTTTTGAATCATAAATCATAATGTGTTGTTTCAGTTGAAGGTCTTGAGTTTGGTGATCTGGAGATCAGTAGGTTTGTGGCAAAGAGGCGCATGACACTTAGAGGTCTGACCCCCGACACTGCGTACCGTGTGTACGTGTGGGGCATGACACGTATTGGGCGGGGTGAGGAGTTCTTCATTGACATTCGCACGGCTGAAGAAACGCCAGGTAGGGCTCAACCACCAGCATCCTTTTGTGAAACCTCATATATGTAAGTCAAAAGTAATTAAAGTTGAAAATGAAGTAAATATTTTTGACAGTGTTTCACGAACTACCCTAAGATTTACGAGTTGACCAGTAACATCAGAGAGTGGGTTGTGAGTAAATGAAATGGACATACAGATGTTGCAAAACCTCTCAACTGCATTACAACGTGTCAGTTTCATGTATAAGCAAAACCCGAATCGATGCAGATATAATCTGAAACAAGATCAGCTAAGCCTATGAAGGTTTGCAGAATTCAGACCAATCTGTACTTCTGAAATCTTTCTTAAGAGACGTGTATTATTGGGAAATTGACATCTGGTGAAGATTCAGCTTTGAAGAACTATCCACAAGACTGTATGAGAAGTGAAGTGAAATTCCAAGTGTAAAAGTTCCTCTTATGTTGAGCATTATTTCTGCAGGTTCAGCATTTTGTGCCTTCGTTTCACAACAAAAGGTTCAAATGAACATGCTCGTCACAAGAAGGTTTCAAAAGAGCCTCATATGACTTTTGTTTAAACTTTGCATCACCAGTTTTACAAACTTACAAACTTAGTTACTTACATAATAAGTATGAACATTCTAATAAAAGCTGTAAATGTTTGCATCTAGGTTCAGTTCCAAGTTCTTGATAAATGAAAAGAGATGATCTCAAAATTAGTACAATGTTCTCTATTATCCAAACGCTGTCCTGAAGACACCCTGTATCTCCACACAAAGGTCATGCTAACGGACTGAGATATGGTGTTCTATTCATGAATACAAGCTCTGTAGAGCCACACGGTCATGTGGCGCAAGATGGGTTCTGTTATCACACGGTAGAGCTGAGGCACATCAAAGAAAATGCTCAGACACGCAAGAGTCCATTTCACCCTGCGTACTCCTGTGATGCAAAATGACCATTTCAAAACAATTTGTCTAACCACAATAACATTAGTGTGTATGCATTAGCAGCATATTCAAGACAGCCATGATGCCATCTTCACTAATGGTGGTGCCAACATGGAAGCCAAAATGAGGTCGGCTTTCATATGGGAGAACAGATGTTGGTTCTAAATTTGATGAAATCTTATTTGTAGTTATTTTGGTCAAAGAAACGTTTCGTGTATTCTCTTAAATGTCCTGGGTCCCGTCCGCAAAGCATTCGAAGCGTTGCGATCTATCGTAACTACATGGTGTAGCATAGCATTACGAATTAAATAGTCCTACAATCTCTTTGTGGATCGGGTCCCTGATCATTTAATCTATACTTATCAAGGTTTACAAGCTATCTATTCCGCCTCTGAGTTGTGAGGGGCAGTGTTTGGTGTATAGGCAATTCAAGAGGTTTCGTACCACTGCCACATTCTACTAGTAAGACACTGAGTGCCACCAGTGACACGTTGGATCATGTCAATATATCTTTACGTGCCTTCTGTCATCTGATACATGTTGGAGCATGTCAATATATCTTTACATGCCTCCTGTCATCTGATACACGTTGGAGCATGTCAATATATCTTTACATGCCTTCTGTCATCTGATACATGTTGGAGCATGTCAATATATCTTTACATGCCTTCTGTCATCTGATACATGTTGGAGCATGTCAATATATCTTTACATGCCTCCTGTCATCTCATACACTTTGGAGCATGTCAATATATCTTTACGTGCCTTCTGTCATCTGATACACGTTGGAGCATGTCAATATATCTTTACGTGCCTTCTGTCATCTGATACATGTTGGAGCATGTCAATATATCTTTACATGCCTCCTGTCATCTGATACACGTTGGAGCATGTCAATATATCTTTACATGCCTTCTGTCATCTGATACATGTTGGAGCATGTCAATATATCTTTACATGCCTTCTGTCATCTGATACATGTTGGAGCATGTCAATATATCTTTACATGCCTCCTGTCATCTCATACACTTTGGAGCATGTCAATATATCTTTACGTGCCTTCTGTCATCTGATACACGTTGGAGCATGTCAATATATCTTTACGTGCCTTCTGTCATCTGATACATGTTGGAGCATGTCAATATATCTTTACATGCCTCCTGTCATCTGATACACGTTGGAGCATGTCAATATATCTTTACGAGCCTTCTGTCATCTGAGACATGTTGGAGCATGTCAATATATCTTTACATGCCTCCTGTCATCTCATACACGTTGGAGCATGTCAATATATCTTTACGTGCCTTCTGTCATCTGATACACGTTGGAGCATGTCAGTATATCTTTACATGCCTCCTGTCATCTGATACACGTTGGAGCATGTCAATATATCTTTACATGCCTCCTGTCATCTGATACACGTTGGAGCATGTCAATATATCTTTACATGCCTCCTGTCATCTGATACACGTTGGAGCATGTCAATATATCTTTACATGCCTTCTGTCATCTGATACTGTTCGTGAGATATGAGATAACTGAACGTTTACATAGAGCTAACTCGTAGTGCCACCGTTTCCATTTTTGTCACCCTTACCTCAACCCTTTTGTTCAGTTTATAAGCGTGTGTACTATGTTGAAAACCTACATTACATGATTGTATTTTGCTGTACTGTAATGTAATTTCAGGGTTTGATCATGCCAGCTTCAACTCTACCATTTATATCCATAAGACTGACCGTTCAAGAGTTGCAGTAGAGTAAACTTAAGAATGCAAATATTTACTTCTAGATATCGGGAAACGCGTGATTTTCATAGTCATTGACAAATATGGTGCATCACATCTCGTTAACTCAGATCAGATGCATTGAATTGTTTGCATACAATGAGACACCATAGTATTTATATTCTCCAGACATGTTTTTTAAAAGCTCTCACATGTTGATAATAATAAACCATTTCATCCATCATGTGTTTGATATTCATTTTACGTGTTTTTACTTTTCTCCAGAAACAATTGAGATACATACTGGACCACGTGACCTTGCATTAGTTCAAGGCAATGAGGCTGTATTTACATGTGGAGCAAGAGCTGGCCCACGGAAGACTGTGGAATATAAATGGTTGCGCAATGGAGTCCGTATTGAGGAGGGCGATCCTCAGGTTAAGATTGAGGAAGGTAGCCTTACCATCCTTAATGTCACCAGTAGCGATACAGCCAACTACACGTGTGTTGCATACAGGGGCATTAACAATGCCACGGCCACTGCAAAACTTCAGGTTAGCGGTAAGTCAAAACGTAATTAGCGATTCTCCTTTATAAATCATCTTCCGCAAGATGCAGCCCACCTAATTTACACCGAAAGCCTTCTTCTTGAACTATTCCTTCTAAATGGCCCTCCTTCTTTGACCAAAACAATCTTTCCTTTTGTTGAACAAATTCTTCTAAACTATACTTTTAATAGAACAAACTAGTCCGTTTTAATGTTCCTCATTCTTGAAACACATAAGTCATTCTTATTGCTGAATGAATGAGTCCATATATATTTTTCCTATTCTTAGACCAAATGATCCTTCTTCTTGTTGATCAATTTTCTTCAACGCACCTACTACTGTTGGCCGACCTAAATTCATTTTCCTGTTAAATCATGTTTTTTTGTTCCATATTTTTGGACCTTCTTCCTGTTGAGCTACTCCTTCTGAAGGCTCCTTATTCCCATAAAAGTTGGAATAATTCTTCTGCACTTAACTTAGAAAGAGTAATCCTCAATTTCACACTTCTTACTTTTGATCTCTTTCGGAAAGGATGCATTGTGTACCTGTAGCGTTCGGTCTTGGGAGTCTTGTCAACTTGAACCTATTAGAATAGTGCACAAAGTACGTGATCTAGAGAATCATGTTGAGCCTCGATGGCTGAGTGGGTTAGATCGCTGACTTTGTATGCTGATGATTGTTTGCCTCACTTTTACAGTTTTTGGTCCTATATGTAGATGAGAATCCACACCTCAAAGTACTAGTGTCTGTACTTATATAACACTTGCTACTTCTTAAGGTATCTCTTTTCTCCAGCTCACCCAGCTGCTCCTGACAACGTGGTCATAACAGCATGCTTTGCCAATCATGCCAATGTAGAATGGTCATTTGACAAGACTCAAGAGAACGTCTCCCCTCTCCTGGGTTTTATCGTGGAATACAATACATCATTCACACCCAATGAGTGGATAGTAGGTGCCAGGACCTCTTCTGACAGTCGCTCAACTCGGATACAACTTTCGTCTTGGGCGATATACAGTTTCCGTGTAAAGGCCTTCAACATGATTGGTGAAGGTGAACCAGGTGATATATCTCCGGCTAAGTGTAGGACTCCTCCAAGTCGACCAGACCGACATCCACGGAATGTCAAGACTGTTGGAGACAAGACCAACTTCTTGGTGGTTGAATGGGAGGTGAGTCAGACAAGTTCAATGTCAGTACTTGAAGTTAACAAGAAAACCTGTTCTGTTTTTTCAAACTTTGTAATGACTGTACACTGGAATGTGACCTGGTTATTTTAATTAAAAAACAACTGCCACATACAGTGGTTGTAATTTCAAATAGGCTATGTTGTTTAGTACTAATGGTGCATAGAGATATACTTATACCTTTGACATTGGCAACTGAAACATTGACAGGGCTTTAGAGGTCCTCATCCGGACGGGGGCAAAATTGTAGCTCTTTCAGCTCTAAAATATTACAGCAAAAATGAAAATAACTCATTTTACGCAGGGGGGTAAATAAGGTATTTTCATAATTGATTGGTCAAAATGAGTTCAAATATGGAAATCATCTTGAGGTGCAGTAGAAAGTTCCAATTTGCTAATCTATGCATCAATATTATGTTGAAGTTTAAAAAACTCGAGAGAATTTTTGTTCAACCAATACCTTGAGTTATATATAGAGAATCCCCGGTGTCTTCTGTTATGAAATATATCACCACGAGTTGATAAAGTAACAAATATCCGAAGCTTACCGGGGATATTTTTACTTTTATCAACGATTGATGATATATTTGATAACAGAAGACACGAGGGGGAGATTCTATTTATCATCAAATATCACTCCTCATTAATTTTCAATGAAAAATGTTCATCTCTGAACTAGGGCTGCGCAATATAACCGGTTTACTGGTATTAACCGGTTCAGACATGAAAACGATACGTATTGCGATACGCTGATCGAAAACCGGTATTTTGACATGCATTTGGAAAACTTCGTAACACTCGGAAACCTTGATGATCGTTGCAATTTTTTAACTGTGGTAATGGTGGTGGGAATGATCGTGGTGAAAATTACATTAACTGAGAAAGCAAGATTTATGGATGTCAACTTCTATATTGTGTATGAAGTTGACACCCATAAATCTTACTTTTTAATATGCATTCCACTTCTAAAGGCCCTTCAAATATTTTACATTTAACTGGATTGTTAAGTTCGGTATATGGTTCCGTTTAAGCCCAGAAATCAGTAGCCGTTTTCGCCAATATGGTGCCGTTTTGACCATACAAATTTGTTGCCGTTCTGCTTTGGTGCCGTTTTAGCGATAACCCTGTTTGAAGTTGTGTTCGTAATTTTTGTTCAAGTGTTCCGCAGTGTTTTGGATCTGAATGTTTTAAATATTTACTCATTAATGACCAATGATCCCAGATATGTCCTGACTAGGTCAAGTTGCTGTCTAAAATCTCAGGGCTTTTTTTGAGAGTGGAGAAAGTAGTTCAAACTAGTCACTACTCTGTTGATGTTTTCCTTGTTTCATTTGTGCCAATTATAATTTATATTTTTATTTTGTCATGGTTAAACGTTTTTATTAAAGCTTAATCAAGCATAGTGATTTTGTTGTGTTTTTGCTTTATAAATAAAGCGTTAACTCGATTATATGTAGTTTATTGTTACAAAAAAAACAAACTTCCGCAATATATTGCAATACATATCGCAATATATGCTTTCGCATCGCAATATATCGCTATATGAAAATTCTCTGCAATACCCACCCTACTCTGAACACAGTACTGCCATTAGATTTGCAGTGCAGTGATGTCATAGCATTGTGACGTCATCAAGTTCATGGCGTCATAGCATTGCCAGGGCATTGTACAAAATCTACTGTCAAAACGATATCTCCTACGAGATATCGTCTGATCTCACACAAGCGATATCTCCTGTGGCACACAGTTTTGGATGATAATTTCATTCATTGGAAGATACTGCAGTGTAATATTTTTACAGCAATCTTACACTAGTGTAATACCGCTAGAGGTATGGAGTCATAATGGTTTACAGTTATGACGTCACAATGCTAATACCTCTGTCACAATGGTATTAGACGTTGTTTGACTCGTGGAAAGCTGAGAGTCATCACACTACGTAGGCAGTTTCTATCAATTTATGTTGGAGAATAATAAACAGATTACTAAACTCGCTTCCCTGAAATACCACTTTTATTAAACTCGTGGAAGATTAGGCATCAAACTCGCTTTCGCTCGTTTGATACCAAATCTTTAACTCGTTTAATAAAAATGGTATTACACGGAAGCGAGTTTAGTATCCTCTATATATTTTTAGTTTATCGAGAATTATCACAATACATCTCTTGAGCTCGACAAAAAGTCCAATATCACATTTTTTCAACCAGTAACTTCACAATCTGGGAATGGATTTTTTTCAGATGGCTTTTTTTTCTTTGGTTTTGAGGAAAGGTGCAGTGCAATGTTTGATACAGATATTGGATCTTTGTCAAGAACTATCTATTGTTCAACTGAAGTTGGAAGTCATGGTCGGTTATATTAGCGCACCTAGGTCACATATTTTAGTTGTATTATTCAGTGTTTAAAACTCCCCAAATTCCAAGCCAGACAGCCAGACTGGTAACTTAAAAAAAAATACCAGTACGGATGCAAACTTGCCTGTCCGGTTTTCAACAATGACAACAAAAATAAGGTTTCTGAATACTTTACTGTTTGCAAGCATCGCAATGAACAACATAGCACTAACAGGCAATGCACCGAGTTTAGGTAAACTGAAAGTGCATGTGTTGTGATTGGTCATTGTAAAATGAACTGTCCAATCGTAAGTAGTTTTAGATAATACATTAAACACCTCAAACTGACGACCAGAGAACCTGTCTGATATTATGAAATATTTACTGTTAGGGGTAAAAACATCTAGCAGACCACCGGACAGGCTACTTTTGAAATTTGACCATCCGAGATGAATATAGACCGTTCCGTACGGTCGGGCAGGCGGGAATTTCAAACGCTGTATTATTAGTTATATTTTATTGGGATCCCAAAAACAATTTGATCTATGTCTCAGGTAAGCAGCCATGGGTCTCTACACCTTTATGACACCTTTCACAGGTACATGCTTGTTTACCACCAACACAAAAACTGATGTTATTGTAATAGATGGGATATGTTCACAGACGATGCCTCAGATTGAACACAATGCTCCTGACTTCTCCTATAGCATTGAGGTGAAGGAGAAGGATGGAGACATCTTGATGAACTTTATGGAACACGACTACACTGTAGGCAGAAAGGAGATATACACGGGCACCGTCTACAAACCATATATATAATACAAGTGAAAGCACGGAACTCTGTGGGACGTCCATTCGTTCATGCCCAGGCTATCACTGGGTATTCTGGTGAAGGTGGTAAGTTACTATCAATCATTTTAAGGTTGTCAATTTCCGAACTGTGCATCAATATCTGCATCAAATCTTAGGTTTGAAAATAGCCCAATGTGAGTATGTAATGAACAATCGATTTTCACAGCACCAACTGTTCTTCCTACCAACTTTGAACTCGCCAGTGAAAGGAACGTGACTGCAACAAGTGCAAGATTTCGCTGGGATCCCGTTAGCACCAGCGCTGAGGTGATACGTGGAGAGTACAGAGGCTACAAGGTATAGAGTGAATGGGTGAGACAGATATGTGCACCCTCTGCCATGCAAACTTCAATAAGTCTTTTACAATAGAGGATTGAAAGTATATGTATCACTTGTAGTAAATACAATTGCAATCTTTGAATGATACTTCACTGATCATTAATTTTGCATGTGATTTGCAAAGTGTTATTTTACAGACCTTAGTACAAAACTTTGATTATCAATTCAATGGTTTGTTGTCACTTTATTCCTGCTGTAATTGTTTAGAATATTGATAGTTGTCATCTCTGACCCTCTGAACCTGTCCTCAACTTACACCAAGAAATTTTCTTTCTCTGGACCCGAATAAAACTTCCAACATTTTGACAATGGATATTGTCTTTTGTTGCCTTTCTTTCTGTTTGAAGACATTTTTCTATTTGAGGGCGGTGGGGTTAAAGCGTCCGCTCGTCATGCCGAAGACCAGGGTTCGATTCCCCATGTGGATACAATGTGTAAAGCCAATTTCTGTTGTGCCCCACCATGATATTGCCGGAATATTGATAAAAAACACACACCCTCACTCACTCTATTTCATGGTATGATTACACATTGATGGCATTGGGTGCATCTAATGATTTTGGTTCTATTTGAAGACATTATTTTTTATTGATGGACATTGTTTGGGTTACAGATTCGCCACTGGAAGAGGAACCAGAAGGAGACAAGCCTCCGTGAGGTGTTTATCCCGGACCGTACAGAAGCTAACAGTAAACAGATGTTGAGACGTACAGGAAACAAAGTCTGGGTTGACGTCCACAGTTTGCCGCCTTACTCTCATATTGAGGCCGATGTAGTGGTTGTCAACACCTACTTCAGCTCTGAAGGCAGCAACATCCTCCGCTTCTCAACAGCAGAAGGAGGTAATCAATGTACAACCTACTTCGTATGTTTATTCTTTGAATAGTGTTCGAAAATGTTATTTATTATCTGAATAAGAAAGGAACTATATCCAAAACAAAAGTACCAAAAGCTCTTTCAGGTATTACAGTGACCTTTCTGAAACAAACACATTACTTAGCATATTTCTATTCTATTACAGTGCCCTCTTCAGTAGAGGACGTAAATATAACTTACCGAGGCTCAGAAGATATCGAGCTGGAGTGGGGACAACCTGGGGAACCAAACGGTATCGTCATTGGCTACCAGGTCGGCTACATGAAGGGTTCGTTATCGGCATCAATACCTTCTCCTTTCATCTCTCTTCGCTTCTTCGCCACTCTCAGTGAAAACAACCCTTTTGCTTCAGGATGTAAATGTGCATGAATCTTGCAGGGTTCGACACTAAAGGTACTACTTACTAAGTCAAGGTCACACAAAGACTCACGAGCTCTGATTCGTGATTAGCACATACACTCAGGTTTGAATAACGTTTGATGATCGATCTTTTCAGTGTGGATTGACGTTTTGTTCTCGAACCCTACAGTGTATTGGTTTTGAGCAACTTTGAAAGACTTTCTTTTGAAAAGGTGACTTCATGAACTTCTTTGTTCCAGGGAGCGTTTAGCAATTTCATACACATAAAATTTAGGTCCCAGGTTTCATCCTTATTTTCAGAACCACAGTTTTAAAGTATGTGCTATTCTGTACATCTATTGTGTTTCTTAATGGTGTGAAATATTGACAATGCATGTATAGCGAATATCTCGATTCTGAGTTTATGAGTTTCGATATGGAATCATATTAATTAGTGTGAAAGTGTGAAAGACTTGAATTTCTGAGTTTGAGAAAACTGATAATTTCACTGCAATGACAGAAATTTGATTTTTTCATCAGAGTGAAAATATCGCTTTACCTGAACTACCTCATGGCTCAACATAGTTTTCCGTGCTGTATCTTGTTACATATCGCAATATATAGCAATGTACACAGATGCATTTCACCAAATGCATTTGGTCAGCAAGCCTAGGCTTCGGTTTAGATATGACAAGACTTTATGGATGATCATCTTCTTTATTTTGACAATGGCGACGTTTCAGTATAGGTTCTTGTAGCGTTTTCAAGCATATGGTATAAGAATCTATACAGAAACGTCGCCATTGTCAAAATAATGAAGATGATCATCCATAAAGTCTTGTCATCTCTATACCACCAACTTCTAGAATGCCGCTCAAACAAATAGGCTTTGGTTCTCCAATCTCTTGCGAAGAAAACACGCACCGATCAGCCAATCGCCAATTCATTCAGTTCATGAGTCCATGTCTCATTTCGTGCAAGTTTAGCTCTGTTGAAAAAACATAAGTTGCGTGCTGGCATCGTTTAACACAGACAGTTGAAGTACAAGTGACCTTTCACTCGACTGGCAACAATCATTACCTGTATTTATGCTCATTGACACAGTAAATAGTTGATTTCTTTCTCAATCGCACTCTTCCCTTTCTCTCGGTCAGCCGTGTTTTTGTGGTTCTTATGTATTCTTGCGCTAGCACCGACTTTGACATTTACGCTAAGACAAAAGGATCGTTTGATGGATATTGTTGTAAGTGCTGATCTAATTCAAACAATGACAATAAGTAAAAGGATTGATCCAGATATGTGTTTTCTCGATTGTTACTCTATTTTCTTAACAAAGAAGTGAACAGTCTTTAGTTTACCGTTTGGAGAATTAGGATTTCGTTAATCAAATTTCCTCGGAATAATTGTTAGTGTTTAAATTCAATTAAACAAAATTGGAAGCATATAATATATAGAATACATCATATTTCACCAGACACATGAAATATCGTCTATTGTGCTTGTTAATGGCGTCAAATATGGATGCATGTACTTATGTATGGCGATTATATGGAATTTTAGAGGCAGTATTGTTTTTGTTTGGAATCATATATCATAATGTGTTGTTTCAGATGAAGGTCTTGAGTTTGGTGATCTGGAGATCAGTGAGATTGTTACAGAGAGGCGCATGTGGCTTGGAGGTCTGACCCCCGACACTGTGTACCGTGTGTACGTGTGGGGCATGACACGTGTTGGGCGGGGTGAGGAGTTCTTCATTGACATTCGCACGGCTGAAGAAACGCCAGGTAGGCTTAACCACCAGCATCCTTTTGTGAAACCTCATACACGTAAGTCAATAGTAATAAAAGTTGGAAATGAAGTAAAAAAATTGACAGTGTTTCACGACTTACCTGAACAATTACGGGTTGATCTACAAGATCAGAGAGTGAGACGTGACCGGATGCAATTGACTAAACAGAAAAACCCGAATCTATTCCGATAACCCCCTTAACAAGGGGCACAATTTTGAGAAAGAGTGTGTGTGTGTCCACACGGATCCACCTATTGTATGTATTTCAATAGGTTTTCTCGGCAGTGAAGTACAAATGTGTTCTGTACCTAAGTCTGATAAAGATTTTGTCAATCATCACATAGTAACTGTTACATTCATTCACAGGCGAATAATTAATTTCGTACATTGTAGGTCTAGTCATAGATGACATAGTACCAACTCTCACCACCGTTAATGTAACGTGGCTTGTTCCTGACGCTGGGGGGCTTAAAGAGGTGGCTAACTATTACTTGGAATATCGCAAACTTGGAAAGGCTGGATGGGACCGTGTAACAGTAGAACAGGAGAATCTTTGGCAAGAAATTAAAGGGCTGGAGGCAGGTACATCCTACCAAGTCCGTGTGTGGACAGCAGCAGGGCAGACTGGTACACCATCACGTAGAAAACTATACAGCGACACCAGGACATTTAGAACGATTTCTGAAGGTAAGGAGAACTATTGTCAGGTTCCACAGAATATATACACACTGTTGGTGACATGATAAGCATCAGGAACATTCCAAGTAAAACCTTTTGATAATTGCTATAGATGTAAATAGGCCAGTGCGCAGAAATACTGTCAGCCATCTTAACCCTATGCAGATTGTTATACTGTAACGAAAGCTGAATTAATATATCAACCCGTATCTGAACCCGTGTTCTGACATATGCGAACAGACATAGACATGATGTGACATAGACGTGATCTGACATATAAGTGACCATTGCCTACACCTATCAAGTCTTAGTTGTAACTCACCCATCAGTAACCAGCTTGTATAGTTCAGCTGAAAGCAATCATTTGGGACACAGTAAAGTCGGAGCTTGTGACTTCACCGCCTGTCCCAAACAGGAAGAGTGAGTGAGTATGGTTTTACACCGCTTTTAGCAATATTCCAGCAATATCGCGGAGTCTGATACCAGAAATGGGGTTCACACACTGTTCCCATGTGGGGAATCGGCGTGACGAGCGAACGCTTTAACCACTAGACTACCCCACAGCCCCTACACAGGAAGAGGAAATGAATTATCTCCGAGACTACTGGGCCAACCGTGCCCACGCTGCTCAATAATTAGCATATGATCTACATGTGTCCCTTGTCATTTAGGAGATAAACATCATGTGTTGGTCAATTTCTGGGTGTTATTGAGTATTTGAAGCACGGGAATTCATTTGGAACCGACGGCGTCAGCCAGAGGTTTCAAATGAAATATTCCCGTGCTTCAAATACTCAATAACACCCGGAAATTGACCAACACATGATGTTTATCGACATTGTAAACACAAAAGTAAACCAAAAGGTCCACAAAGTTTTTGTGTCTGCACTCATTGACATCGAGTACGGGTACAGCAGTGAAATGTCATCAGCCGGCCGTTTCGGATGTCTCCCGTGGTAGCATCTGGAACTTCTCATTTGTGACTCATTTGTGACGTCATTCAGACTTTACGTCACAATATGATTTGAATGACGTCATCACAGCTGACGACGTAACAATACAATAGTGTGAGCGATGTTTGTACGTGTTAATACGCAGCGAATTTCCGGGAATCGAATACCATTCGATCATGATTTTCAACCAATCAGATTAAAGAACACAGTGACTTTTGGTTTACAATGTTGCTTGGCGAGACTCATATTTTTCTAAAACGTTGAACTAACCGATTATACAGCTAACCCTTACATCTAAGTTTGATGTAGACTATATGATCTATCTTTACAAAATAGTGGTCGCGTGACCGTATTCGAACGTTCTATGGTTAGACATAAAGTAACACAAAAGTATTTCAGATAACTTTTTCCAACAATTTCACCAAGCATTGGGTCCACAGTGGGAACTTCGTGAGTAACGTGTTTCACATTGAAATTCATGCTGTTGTTTCATTCTTACAGCCTTTCTTTTGTTGACCCAAGGGAAGAAAATCAGGCGAGTCGACATCGCGTCCACATCTACCAATCTGGTCAGATTCACCAAGAAAAAACTCAAAATAAGGAGTCCGGCGTCCTTGACCTTCAACGTTCGGAAGAATACTGTGTTCTTTTCGGACAAAAGAACAAAAAGCATAAACATGTACTTAAAATATTCGTTGCTATGGGAAATGACACAAGGGTATAATGTTTGTTAGTTATCGAGTGTAGGCCAGACGATCCGGTGATGAAATCATGATCATCGATCGACGTAACTGGGATACGTTGACATTCATGTTTCGGGCAACCCGACCCCGACTGACGATATGCCGTTATAAATAATATTTAAGTCAAATACTTCAGTCGAAGTTGAAGGGACCCACGTAAAATAATTAACCGCCAATAGTTAACCGCAAAATGATGGTTAAAAAAGAGCACACAGGGAAAAACTCTTTACTTCGACACATCAAACTTCGACACAGCGGTGTTAGACTGTGTATAAGTATACAACATGCATCTTTCTATGCGTAATAGCAAACTGTAAAGGCCTTATAAATTCTACTTGAATGTATATCTTTAAAACATCGTTTCAAGTTATAAGATGAATGAATGCTCGACGATGACGCCTGTCTGATGTTGTTGAGTTTCTGAGTGAGTGAGTTTAGTTTTACGTCGCTTTTAGCATTATTCCAGCAATATCACGGTGGGAGACATCGGAAATGGGCTTGACATATTGTACCCATGTGGGGAATCGAAACCCGGGTCTTCGGAGTGACGAGCGAACGCTTTAACCATTAGGCTACCCCACCGCTCCTGTTGAATTACTGAAATTCACATATAATTACATGTTCTCTAGGGCAACAATAGAAGGATTTCAGCTCCATTCAGCAGTTCGGATCTATCAGGATTCCAACTCCTCCATATTTGGCATAGCTTACGACTGGGTACACGAAGCACTCTACTGGACTGACGGCCGACGGAAATCCATAAGGGTCATGACTTTGACCCGAGAGGACCGGAAGTATATCACAACGGTTGTTGACGGCATGGGTAAACCACGAGCAATAGCGCTTGACATTCAGCAAAGGTAGGGTTTAAAACATCCTATAAGAAAGTAATTTATTTTCATCGAACCAAAAACCACTTGAGCTTATTGCAGCATCTATGTGAAACATGCTAAAATCAAAAGCATTGCTTGTATCAACTTATTTCTCTTCTGTAGTCAATTCGGCTAAAGATGTAGTTCTTTCGGTTGTAATATGTAATTTTCATCGGATCGAAATTGTTTTTCGTTGGCGTTTTGCGTTTTACCTTACCAATCAATCCGACCATAACACCAGATATGCTAATTGATGTTCTCTGATGTGTCAGTGTAGACGTACAGGTCATTTTGTTTGCACTTCTGTTAATGAGTGAGTGAGTGAGTGAGTGAACCCGGGTCTTCGGCGTGACGAGCGAACGCTTTAACCACTTGGCTACCCCGCCGCCCCTTCTCTTCATATCTGGCGTTCGATCTGAATGGGATTAATGTAAATATAGTGAAACTGATTAATGTAAATATAGTGAAACTGTCTAAATAAAATGTCGGGTTAGACAGGGTGTCGGATTAGACAGTGACGATCATTTTCCAACATGGCTGCCATTTACACTCGTCTTCATCATTTTATGCCGGCTTTGACAGTGTGCCGGATTATACAGGTGCCGGTGTTGGCAGGTTTTACTGTATACTTATTAACCAAGTTTAAAAAAACACCGATTCTATCAATTTTAGTTAATATGTCAGCAATATAAATAAACCGGATGTTCTTTGGCCTCTTTGGAGTGCTCTAGTGTGAAGATTGTTATTCACATGCATTTCACTGATTTAGATAGTTTGAACTGAATGACATTTTGTATAACATAAGACATGTGGCAACTATTGAAATCAAGGCTTTGTTGGTGTGTAGTGAACACATTCCTCCTGCTCTGGAAACCTTGCACTGGCATCCCGTCTTCTCTCGAAATATTTTCAAGATCTGTATTATCACCCATGACTGCCTCAACGATGATACAACTACCCTTGATACCTTAAGGACTTGATCTCCCTGTGTTCTACTAAACGTGCACTTCGATCCAACAGCGGAGCTATACTCAATCAGGTTCTGTCTGAACGTGCCTCCTCAGTTTCTAGTCCCCAGTTATGGAACTCTCTACCATCTGAACTAAGAAACATCAAGCCCAAAGACCTTTTCAAGTCTTTACTTAAAACCCACCTCTTCAACTCAGCACAACTTTCAGGATTGTGTGTATATGTGTGCATGGATTTGGTTTTAAATTTGTCATAGCGCTTTAGAAATCAATTATTATTCTTGTTGTTATAATCAGATACTTGTACTGGACTGACCGGATGAAACCAGCCATGATTGGGCGATGTGGCATGGATGGAACCAATGTCAGCAGCATCATTAACTCCGATATAACATGGCCTGAAGGTCTTACTATAGGTAAGAGGCACAGTGAAGACACAATGGTCAGCTCCTTACATGGACTGGCATATTTGGTATTAGGATTGTGGTATAAGAGCAAAAAGCGAACACAAGAGTGCCACGGTTCTATTTTAATCACTTCACATTGACAATGACCCTTTTGAAGATATATGTGTACTGGCGTGAGATTGACAAATTAGTTGAGAATACTGATACTGAAGAACGTACCAAGAACAAACATAAAGCACTGAAGACTCCCAAACACTGCAACCTTCTTCTCCAGCGTTCTTCAAACATAACTGAAAACCCGGGGATGAGGAGAATGTAGGAAAAGAGTGATAAGAAGAAACGTCATAGCTTTGGGTAGGAAAATATGTCATAGGAAAAAAGTCATAAACTAAAACAAAATTCAGTATTGATAATGTATATTTTCAACAAGTCACAACAATATTATCTTCAATAGCACTACATAAATTTCTCTGAACCACATCTGAACCTACATTAATGTATTTATTCCAGTAATACATGACATCATAAAATGAACAGATCACAACACTATCATCTGCAATAGCACTACATCAATTGTCTCAGCATATTTTATTTAGCCGAATTTTCCATCCAATACCGTGAAGAGTCTAGTCACCGTCTTTCGATGGAAGCATGGCGCGAACTTTAGGGCTGCAGATTTTCTTCTTCTTTGAGAAATGCTTTGCGTACAAGTAGTCTTCATAACTGACTGTCAAACCTCCCTTACGTGTGGTCAGTAACGCCATCTTGGATGACCGAAGTCCCAGTTCATCTCGTGTCTTATATTAGCTGCTAGAAAGAAGCAATCTGTTTGATACCATCAAGCTCAAAGCAAGTTATACAAACAATCATATGACTCGTGACTTTTAATCCCATATTCCTTTAAGGACTAAATAACTATTAGTAATAATATGTTCATTTCTCCTGTTTTGATAAGATCCAATTGCTTACAGCATCAAACCGAAAGGGAAAACAAACTTAAAAGTGAAATAATTTTTATAAATAACTGGAGAACAGGATGTTTTTATTACTGAAGATTTTTTTAAGATGAAAGTGAAATAGTATTTATAAAATAAAGTATAAAAAATTAAATAACTGGAGAACAGGATGTTTTATAAAAGATGACTTTTTCCCCATGACTTTTTTCCTATGACTTTTTCCATTCTTTTTCCTATGACTTTTTTTCCGATCACCTACGAGTAAATCTCAAACTTGAAATTAGAAGATCAACCCTGAAAACTCAAACTAAATTTGATATCAATAAATATCCACATTAGATCAATGACAAATTAGCAAATTATATTCAAACAGTCTCCTGTAATCAATATTTTCCTCACCATTACGCTAATAAAATATACACGTAAAGGGACACTGATCCAGAGCAATTCCCCGGGACTGGTTGTTGCTTTTGCTATTGTTTTGTAACCGGATGATATCCCAGAATTCTTGACTGGGCTGCGAACACTGTCGCGCCACCCGCAAGCGCAATTGGTATGATATGTATGATATATCCTGACATCGATCAACACATATGAAATCTATTTCCAACTTCATTGTTATGATAACAAATGAAAAATATTGAACTTCATCTGCCAGTGGTAAAATATGTTAGGACTGAACAAAAAGAGAAGTTAGTGAACGCGTTTATATTTTTGTGTTATAATCCTAATTAATTTATTTTTATGTTTGTATGCATTTTAGAGTGAGTGAGTGAGTATGGTTTAACGCCGCTTTTAGCAATATTCCAGCAATATCACTGCGGGGGACACCAGAAATGGGCTTCACACATTGTACCCATGTGGGGAATCGAACCCGGGCCTTCGGCGTGACGAGCCAGCGCTTTAACCACTAGGCTACCCCACAGCCCTGCATTTTGGAACTTCATAAAATGTACACGATCTGTTTTAGCAAATATATTACATGAATGTAATATATAGACTTTTATTGACTGCCTATGTGATTCATATTTCAAATACAAGCCCTAAGTGCGATCTAGTGTATGTTGTCTGTCTTACAGACCTTCACGGCGAAAAAAATGAAGTGGAACGATTCTGTTGGATGCTGCAAGAAAAGAATATATACAAAATTAAAACCGACTAAAGTTATAGCAATAACCTCAGGCCGTTACCTTGAATGTATCCATCAATATCCGCATAAAGGAACCATATGCCATTCATCTGCATCTGACAAAGAAACCTGTTCCATGTCACGTGTCAAATATGCAAACAATGTATAAATCGTTATAACTAGTAAGGAACGTTTTTTTATGGATAGACAACTTCTTTATTGAAATCGATGGGACGTTTCGGTGTAGATTCTGATGGGGGGTTCCCGTTTTGCCGGACGATTTTGTTCTAGATAAAAATTCACTGATGCGCGATAATCCTTAAACAATAGGGGATTAACTTATAGTCATTTTCGGCTATATGTACACACTATAACTTCATCTCGATGTTTTCTATTCAGCAATTCAACATTTTTTGTGTATTTTCTCTTCATGATGAAATTCATAAATACACATTTCGTACATCTTCAGAAAATGAGAAAATGGTAACTGAAGACATATAAATAAATCTGCATAAATATTTTTCCATAAATATACATAAAGATTTTTGTTCATAAATATACACAAATAATAATCATTCCAACACAGGGACACCAACTAGGTCTGAGACAAGATCCCCATGAATTTGGAATGAACTGAATTTTGTAATGAGGGAACCATGTCTACATTCTTTGAATACAGGCACAATGGCAGAAATAATCATTTAAATAAGTTTCACTCAATTTAGCTGATATAATTCGTGTTCACTCAAATTAGTTACTAGAAATCGAGTTCACCCAAAACAAATTGGTGCCTTGTAATTATTGAGTTCGAACTTTGCCAATCGCTTATGTCCCCCAAATGAGACTATGGCCATGGGTGGCAACTACTCACTGAAAACAGACTATAGCCAGCAAACTAGCGGACCGTTACTCCTAATCCGTGATCATCACATCAGCTGTCCGGCAAAGTGGGGTATGACCATTCTGATACTGTCAGCAAACCAGCTTCTAAATGCCACTCAAAGAAGTAATTATAACTAGTGATAGTTTCTCTAATTAATCAATCAACGTGTTATCGGTTAATCCTTTGGTCGGTGTTATTATTTTTAACTCAGCTGACAATTCCTTTGCTGCACTTCCTTGCGCATATTACATAACATGTAATACATACATCAGACCTTAATCTATAATGTTGAGCATTTACTCCAAACACGAGAAATGCCAAATGGGAACCTTTGTCGGGAAATCTGAGTGCTATTACTACTAATTATACCTGTTATAAATTCATTAACTGCCCATCAAGTGAATGATGACAAACAAACAGGTGTACGTTTATATCACCAAACATGGGTAACATCAAGAGAGTAGTAATCGCTGTATTGTATACAATTTTAATTGCTTAAAAATGCTAAGAGGTCGACGCTGTTTTGAGGATATGTACGGAACTTCATTGTTGCATAAGAAATACATCATTTGCTGTAAAGTTTAAAAATGCATACACCTACTGACGTTAGTAATTATTTTGCATTTTTCTAGCAATGGCAAAGTGAGTTTGATTAAGTTTACGGATTCAAACTGATGAAATGTGTGTTTTTCATATAATTGGCGACCCGTGAAGGTTCGGGTTAGAATATTGATCTTCAGTAACCCATGCTTGTCGTAAGAGCCGACTTACGGGATCGGGTGGTCAGGCTCGCTGACTTGGATGACACATGTCCTCGGTTCCCAATTGCGCAGATCGATGCTGATGCTGTTGATCACTGGATTGTCTGGTCCAGACTCGATTATTTACAGACCGCCGCCATATAGCTGGAATATTGCTGAGTGCGGCATAAAACTAAACTCACTCATATAATAGGCTTATCTAGCGGCTAGACGAAGTTATAAAATGATTGGCGGGAAACATGAGTCGCTGTGGATCAGTGCCCCTTTAATATATTGTCTCATTTAATGGGGGCTCCCTCTCACTCTGTATGATACACTTTAACTTGTATTGCCTCCTTATTGTTTATGGTGAAATAACGATTTGGACCAAGATGAATGCAACCACAGCAGGGAGACAAGAACTTCTACAAAACCACCCATATTTTCAACAGACTATGCTGAACGTCGCTTGTACTGGACGGACGCTATACGTGACAGAGTGAGCAGCTGCGACATGGACGGTGGTGACCGCAGAGTGGTCATCAGAATGCCAGGTCCGCCAGATGAACGTATGTTTGCTATAACGATGTTTCAGGTGAGACATGACCTACAGCTGCCCAAAACGATAGGTCGGGAGAAATCAGATCTAACCAAACACAGATTCTCTATAACGATATAGCAGCTGAGACAGGCTTACATCTTTACCCTATAATAATGTAGGATGTAAGATATGACCTACTAGGGTTGCCCTATAACAACATATCAGGTGAGACATGACCTACCAGTGTTGCCCTATAAGAACATATCAGGTGAGACAGGACGTATTAGTGTTGCCCTATAACATATCAGGTGAGACATGACCTACTAGTCTCGTCCTATAACTATATCAGGTGGGACATGACCTACTAGTGTTGCCCTATAAAACATATCGGTGAGACATGACCTACTAGTGTTGCCCTATAAAAACATATCGGTGAGACATGACCTACTAGTGTTGCCCTATAACATATCAGGTGAGACATGACCTACTAGTCTTGTCCTATAACTATATCAGGTGAGACATGACCTACTAGTGTTGCCCTATAAAAATATATCGGTGAGACATTACCTACTAGTCTTGTCCTATAACTATATCAGGTGAGACATGACCTACTAGTGTTGCCCTATAAAAATATATCGGTGAGACATGACCTACTAGTGTTGCCCTATAAGAATATGTCAGGTGAGTTTTGACCTACTAGTGTTACAGAATTATTTTCTGTCTAAACATAGTACAATTCTAACATAACCTCTCACTAACTATCCACATATACAAGGTATTATTACACTTGAAACATTGTTACACAACAAATAACACTGACACACGAGACTATACAAAATGTGGTTTAAGGCAACTTGGTGCATAGCAATACGGTATATAAGAACGTGCTGCTTATGATGGTGGTGGTGGTGGTGTTGATACAGATGTTGCTACTCCTTCCAGGACTTCCTCTACTGGAGCGACTTGAGATCATCAACTCTTAGAAAGGTCAACAAGAGGACGAGGGAGGCCGTTGAAGTCATCAACACTGGGAGAGGAAGGCCCTACGATGTCAAAGTGTACCACACTGACCGACAACCAGAAGGTGATACTTTTACATCTATGAAGCAACATACACTCAAACATCGTTGTGTCGAAGTGAAAACCCGGTCCTTTCGTATTCGTTCATTAGGCATATATTTTCGGTTGTGTCGAACTAAGGTGTTTTACGTAATTATATATAAGTAACTGTTTCACCGTGTATCGAAACTATTCTCTGACATTGAACGGTGTTTCACTGTGTATCGAAAACATTCTCTGTAAGTATTGCTTGGTACGACGCCAGGTCCCTGACCCACAGTGTTTCACTGTGTATCGAAACTATTCTCTGTAAGTATTGCTTGGTACGACGCCAAGGTCTTGACCCACAGTATTTTACTGTGTATCGAAACTATTCTCTGCAAGTATTGCTTGGTACGACGCCAAGGTCTTGTCCCACAGTGTTTTACTGTGTATCGGAAATATTCTCCATAAGTGAGGTGAGGTGAGGTGAAATTGGGTTTAACGTCGTGCTTTTAAATATTTCGCCCATATGATGACGTGCATGCGTGTGTATGTGTATGTGCGGCTGCTTGTACTAGCCCAGACAGAAGCTGGTTTTATAGTGCTAGCCCACTGAAATGCCATGCCGCAGTGAAGCATGAATACCCCACTCAGACACATTATACTGACTCCGAGCCGACCAGTCCTTGTTATACCCATTAAAGCCGAGCGCCTGGCAGAAACCAACAAGTAGCATATTTTAACGTCTTTTGTTAAGACGCGGTCGGGGATCGAACCCGCGACCTTCCGCTCTCCGGGCGGACGCTCTAACCACTACACCACGGAGTATTGCTTGGTACGAAGCCAGGGCCCAGATCCACAAAGCGTTCGTAACGTTACGACCTGTCGTAAATCTATATTTTATCATTGGATTACGAATGTCGCAGCGCTACGAAGGTTCAGTGGAGCTACGAAGGTTCAGCGCTACGAAGGTTCAGTTTAGCTTGGCTAAAGTTGAAATAATGCAGTTCACGGACAGTACTACGCGCACTTTAGTCAGAGTGTACATTTTGGTTCACAGCATCGAACGCATGTGGTGACAACAACGGAGGATGCTCACATCTGTGTCTGCCGTCGCCTCATCAGACGTCACAGTCTACAAGCTTCTTATGTAAATGCCCGGATGATCGGCGTTACCAGCTGTCGTCGGATGACAGGACGTGCTTTACCGATGGTATGTTGACTACATTGATTCAACAGAACCGAAGTTAGCAAGACACCTGCCTCTCAGTGAAGCTCGGGCTGCTGTGAAACAAGTTAAGCTGATATTTAGATTCAAATTGATTGATATTGTAGTGGGTGAGTTTAGTTTTAGCAAATATTCTAGCTATATCACGGCGGGGAACATCAGAAATGGACTTAACAGATTGTACCCATGTGGGGAATCGAACCCGAGTCGTCAGCATGAGGCGTGAACATTTTAGCCACTGGGCTGCCCACCGCCTGACTGTAAGTCGTTTACATATTGCTTGTGATTACATGTTAGAGTCACGCTTTTCTCTCAGTCTATTCTAGCAATATGAATAATGTGGTCGAGGTGTTATGAATGCCACAAACACCATCCCAAATCTCCTTTATTCGACTGATGAGATACACTGTGTGTAATGTAATGAAGGACAGACTGACTGACTGAGTATGGTTTGACGCCGCTTTTAGCAATATTCCAGCAACATCACGGCGGGGGACACCAGAAATGGGCTTCACTCATTGTACCCATGTGGGGATTCGAACCCGGGTCTTCGGCGTGACGAGCCAACGCTTTAACCACTAGGCTACCCCGCCGCCTCAAGGAAGGACAGATCTGAATGACACCAGTCAGGTATTGCGCCAGTTCTGACATCATACTTCGAGTGATTTGATCTCATCACTTGTCATCCGGGTTAGAATCAGCGACCCATGCTTGACGTAATAGGTGACTAACGGGATCGGGTGGCCAGGCTCGCTAATCACCATTGACACACGTCATCGTATCCCAGTGCTAATGTTATCAATCACAGGCTCGATTGTTTACAGACTGCCGTCATATAGTTGAGGGGGCGGTGGGGGTAGCCTAGTGGTTAAAGCGTTCGCTCGTCACGCCAAAGACCCGGGTTCTATTCCCCACATGGATACAATGTGTGAAGTCTATTTCTGGTGTCCCTCGTCCTGGAATATTGCTAAAAGCAGCATAAAACCAAACTCACTCACTCATATAGCTGAGTGCGGCGTAAAACAACAAACAACACATGTCATCCACTTACAGTGCACTCTGTCTAATTCGGACCGGCTTGGGACCGACTAACAAGTCCAAATTAGACAGCAGTCCGAGGTACACAGATTGTAATGGAGTTATCTCCCTTTGACGAGCATCGATCGTGCATGAAACACATATTACAACTAACTTTGAGCTGCGTGGTTATCTCAATTATAGTTTACATATTAGTGTTAATCGCATCAAAGGTAAATAAGCGTATATATTTGTATTATTTCAGACTTGTAACAAGACGACTCCTGGGCAACCTGAAGTGAAGACGAAGAGGCCGAACCGTAACACCCTCTTCAAGAACGGAGGCAGTGGGGTAGCCTAGTGGTTAAAGCTTCCGCTCGTCACGCTGAAGATCCGGGTTCGATTCCCCACATGGGTACAATGTGTGAAGCCCATTTCTGGAATATTGATAAAAGCTGCCTAAAACCAGTCACACACTCACTCTTCAAGAAAGAAAATCGTCCATCAGTATCGATGTTTTTCTATATAAATGCACACTTGCCAGCAAAATGGCGTACAACATCTACAAAAAATATATCCTGATTCACTTAAATGTACCCTAGATTGGAATATGGTTTTAATAAATTATGAACCAATGATTCATGTTACGTCCATCAGTATCGCTATCTTTCTATATACATGCACACTTGCTAGCATAACATATCTTGATTCACTTAGATCTACCCTAGCTTGGAATATGGTTTTAATGAATTATGAACCACCGTCAGATTTTCTTCAAAGGTACAGTCAAATTGATTTTGATATTTACATATTCATGAGAGTTAAAAGCTGAACCATATTTGCCACATATTCAAATGTAACTTCATTGCTCAAGAGTGGCCATCCACCCGATTCTCCAAACTTATTTTATGTCATTAACAGAGGTCGCCATGGAATTGAAATCTATGCGTTCATAAAACAATTGAGTGAATGAAGTGTTTTGGACATGAAACAGCAACATTTTACATTCATTTTAGTTAAACCAATTAACAGGTTAATGATATTGCTGGTGTGGGTTCATTTATTGCAAAATTCAGGTTTCCGATCGATTAACAAAACATTCGTAGCGTAACGAGATATCGTAACTGTACAGTATATCATAGGCTCACGAATGACTTAGCGCTGCCGGAGTTTTGTGAATCGGGTCCATGGCCTCTGCCAGCTGGTTTCAATCAAATACAGAAGACTAAGATAAAACAAAACGCAATGTATTTTTATCTCTAATAAGTAAGATCTGTTGATATCTAATCTAAGTATAGTAGTGTTGGGAATTGGTTAAAATCTCATAATTGATGATTGGTTTATTACAACCGATCAATCATCGAAAAAAATTGGTTAGCGTCATTAATGAAATTTCTTAATGCACATAAAAATAAGGAAAAAACATGTAGTTCTTTTGTTTTTGGGGCAAAATTTCACATCTTTATAGGATGATTAGTATGTCAGGAACATAAATTTCTTGGAGTCTTTAAGATAAATTCAATCATGACTTGAAACGAGTTTGTAGTGTTTATGAAATGTAACAGACAAAACCAACCTTGTGAAAATTATTGTTTATGAAAACAAGTGTTCCAGAATTGTTTGTGTTCGATTATGAGAAAACATGATCGATTGCTTGGTCGTTTAGTCACTGCGACCAATCTTCGATTATTTCAATTAATCGGACCACCACCAGCATCATACACTCAAACATCGTTGTGCCAAACTTTGATGTGTCGAGCTTATGGTTGTGTCGAAGTAAAAACCCGGTCCTTTCGTATTCGTTCATTAGGCATATATTTTTCGGTTGTGTCGAACTAAGGTGTATTTACGTAAGTAACTTCGACAGAATGGTGTTTCACTGTGTATCGAAAACATTCTCTGTAAGTATTGCTTGGTACGAAGCCAGGTCCCTGACCCACAGTGTTTCACTGTGTATCGAAAACATTCTCTGTAAGTATTGCTTGGTACGACGCCAAGGTCTTGACCCACAGTATTTTACTGTGTATCGAAAATATTCTCTGTAAGTATTGCTTGGTACGACGCCAGGTCCCTGACCCACAGTGTTTCACTGTGTATTGAACATATTCTCTGTAAGTATTGCTTGGTACGACGCCAAGGTCTTGACTCACAGTGTTTTACTGTGTATCGGAAATATTCTCCATAAGTGAGGTGAGGTGAGGTGAAATTGGGTTTAACGTCGTGCTTTTAAATATTTCGCTCATATGATGACGTGCATGCGTGTGTATGTGTATGTGCGGCTGCTTGTACTAGCCCAGACTGAAGCTGTTTTATAGTGCTAGCCCATTGAGATACCATGCTGCAGTGAAGCATGAATACCCCACTCAGACACATTATACTGACTCGAGACGACCAGTCCTTGTTATACCCATTAAAGCCGAGCGCCTGGCAGAAACCAACAAGTAGCATATTTTAACGTCTTTTGTTAAGACGCGGTCGGGGATCGAACCCGCGACCTTCCGCTCTCCGGGCGGACGCTCTAACCACTACACCACGGAGTATTGCTTGGTACGAAGGCAGGGCCCAGATCCACAAAGTGTTTGTAACGTTACGACCTGTCGTAAATCTATATTTTATCATTGGATTACGAATGTCGCAGCGCTACGAAGGTTCAGTGGAGCTACGAAGGTTCAGCGCTACGAAGGTTCAGTTTAGCTT